GATCAAAATTGATTCGTTAAAAATTAGATAACTTAGTGTTGCCTCTCGTCGATTTAATTTGTGTAATTCCGAAACCTTTTTATAATCCCACCTGGTATTTTCCCCATATTCGTTCATAATTAATATCATTCAGCCGTTGTAGAATTAAAATATTTGGCTTTAATTTCTTGTACATAAAACTTTAATATAACAAAGTTTCTTTTTTTTTCATTTGTTTAATAATAACACTATACATTGTGGTTCAGGTTTTAAGTTTTGTTGTTTTATTTTTTTAATATAAAATTATAGGTCTTGTTGTGGATTTAAAACTTAAGCGTCAAATTGTAAGTGTAAACAATTTAAATCCTTGAGGGGTACAACATCTGAAAGAAAAAAAAGAAAATAAATAGATTGGATTAGTACGGAATATGGATTGTTACGACTATAAGTAAATGGAAATTTGTCCTGTCATTCTTCTATAGAAAACAAATGAGAAAAAGCCTAAATGATGGAATAAAAGGACCAATAATCCTTGTAGATGTGTCATATTAAAACGGGATGAATGATTTAAAGTTCCACTAATCCTTGTAGATGTTAGATTGAACTTTAATTCTAATCAATTCCCTTATCAGCGGTGAAGTATTTCCAATTTTTCTTGAAGTTGAATGAAATAGGAAAGTGGTGAAGAAGTTCCTGAATGTCCTCAATATTTCCCTTAAAACTTTCCCTTCTACAAATTTACAATTAATTTGTTTTGAAAATTTGTTTTTAACTCGTGTTGCTACTGGCCTGCACATGATGGTTAAATCTTCAATCAGCTGTTCTACTTTAGCACAACAACATAACCCTGACCTATAATCTTAAAACTTTCCGTTGAGGGAAGCTGTTCTTCCAAAAATTGTTGCTAACCGTTACAGGATTTTAAGAAATAATGTCATAGTCCTCCAGTGATGTAATCCATAGTTCAATCCTCTGGTCGTCCACATTTCCATCACTAATTCTTATCAGAGAAAAACATTCCAATTTTTATGTGTTCGAAAATACTTACAATGCGAATGCGGTGACCCATAGCATGACCGGGCAAGTTTCTGTTGAAACGAGCACGGACGCAGCCACCATTACCGTGCAAGCGGGTAACTTTGCCCCAGACGGCACGGACACGGGTCTTACGTTCAGGATGTTGGGGAACACACTTCTTGGTCTCAGCTTTGTAAACATATACACAACGCTTGCCAATGTAGAATTGACCATGTTCCTTTCTGCGGGCACCTTCAATCTAAAAACAATAACAACAACAAATAACATTAACAATCGTTCTTCGGGAGATTCAGAATTTCAATTCTTAACTTACCTTCAAGATAGCTTGGTTTTCGTGTTGATTTCTCAAACCACGTTTGTAGCCAGTGAAGACAGCCTTGGCAAAGAGACGGCCATGACGCTTGTATTTGGGAGCAGCCTTCTTGACGGCAGCAGCCTTTTCGGGCTTGGCAGCCTTGGGGGCTTTGGCAGCCTTAGGAGCCTTGGTAGCCTTGGCGGGGGCAGCAGCGGCAGCTTGTGTATCAGCCATAGTTTAACCTAAGGCACCAAAAACAAAACAAACTTTAAGTTAGCACGTATTTCCTATTCATAAGAAGGAAGATATGGATCTGTATTCCAAAGCTCATTTTTTTCCATGTAAACATTGCCTTAAACTCGAAGAAATGTACACACACTCTCAAGTCATCTTGCTTTCTTCCCAACAATACATCTTCAACGATATTGTTGTTCGGACAATTATTTTTTGATCTTGAAACATCTTGCATAAATTCATAATAAAGCACACAATATTCATTTAATAACATTAGAGCATTGATCTTGTTTAGTATTCATCATAAATTTTATATAGTTTAAGGCATTTTTTACATATTTTTTAATATTTTCTTTAGAAAAACACAAAAATCGCGTACGTACCGGAAACTTGACAAATGGCGAAAGAGAGAAGGCATGATAGAGCTGTCATTTCATAGATTTGACATTTGCACAACGACATCTGGTGGTGGATTTAAATCAAAACATTTGTGAAAGGTTGTATTTTGTTGGTTTTCAACGGGAATGTCATGCGTTTGAGATTAGCGGGGTTCACAGCAGTTGATTTGAAGAGTATGTGTGAAAAATTGTTAGAAATTGATTTTTATTCCCTCAGCCATATGGCTATATTATTTGATAAGGCCAAAACGTGCCTTTTTGAAGTAACGGTTTGAGACTCTGGGTCTCTTTGGACCAAATCCGTTTCAGGTCATTTGGAGTTGATCTAGCGATGTCCGTCTGTCTGTCTGTCTCACGATAACTCTCGAAGGGAGAATCCGATTTGATCCAAACTTGGTACATCGCATGGTACAATAAATACAAGGTAGACTAACTTTGAAAAAATTGCAAGTATAGAGGTCTACCTGTTTGGCTTGTAATGTCAGAATTGCTATCAAAACAATAAAAAAGCAAACAACTTGTTGCATTGATTTTGAATAAATAATTTAAAACCGCGAAAACTGAATAAAAGGTCAACATTTCTTTTCAAAATCATGTTCTATATATCTCTTATGGTTTATTTCGCGACAAAAACTGTAGACTTTGTCGATGCATACGTTGCAATAAGCATTTTGAAAACACCCGCATTTGAATATTTTCTGAACAATTTTTTTATTATTGAAAAGAAGACTCACACATGAGTAAATGAAGTTGACATATTAAGCCAGAAAAATAAAAAAAATTGAAATCATATGGTAGTTCTGCCCTACCTTGAATTCATTGTACCATGGTACATCGTAATATTATTGCAAAACTTAGATTGAGTTCGGAGATGGGCAATATCTGTCCGCTCCTTCTGGTATCTCCCACACAAAACCTCAACATTTTCAAAGAAAATGAATTACTGCACAGAAAGAGAAAGGATAATCCCTTTCTTCTCCAACTTTGCCAATCCTAATATTTGCATCAGTTCTAGGTTTGCTGAGAAAATGGACACTATCAGTCCACTCCATCAAATACCTTCCCCTCAAAGGCTCAATATTGTGAATAATTATAACTTTCATAAAATGTGATGTAAGAGTCCTATTGTCTTCAAATTATACACATCATAATATTTTCATTAACCCAAGGTCTGGTGCGAAGATGGAATATATCGGTCCACACATTCTCGTATCCGTTTCAGGTCATTTGGAGTTGATCTAGCGATGTCCGTCTGTCTGTCTGTCTCACGATAACTCTCGAAGGGAGAATCCGATTTGATCCAAACTTGGTACATCGCATGGTACAATAAATACAAGGTAGACTAACTTTGAAAAAATTGCAAGTATAGAGGTCTACCTGTTTGGCTTGTAATGTCAGAATTGCTATCAAAACAATAAAAAAGCAAACAACTTGTTGCATTGATTTTGAATAAATAATTTAAAACCGCGAAAACTGAATAAAAGGTCAACATTTCTTTTCAAAATCATGTTCTATATATCTCTTATGGTTTATTTCGCGACAAAAACTGTAGACTTTGTCGATGCATACGTTGCAATAAGCATTTTGAAAACACCCGAATTTTAATATTTTCTGAACAATTTTTTTATTATTGAAAAGAAGACTCACACATGAGTAAATGAAGTTGACATATTAAGCCAGAAAAATAAAAAAAATTGAAATCATATGGTAGTTCTGCCCTACCTTGAATTCATTGTACCATGGTACATCGTAATATTATTGCAAAACTTAGATTGAGTTCGGAGATGGGCAATATCTGTCCGCTCCTTCTGGTATCTCCCACACAAAACCTCAACATTTTCAAAGAAAATGAATTACTGCACAGAAAGAGAAAGGATAATCCCTTTCTTCTCCAACTTTGCCAATCCTAATATTTGCATCAGTTCTAGGTTTGCTGAGAAAATGGACACTATCAGTCCACTCCATCAAATACCTTCCCCTCAAAGGCTCAATATTGTGAATAATTATAACTTTCATAAAATGTGATGTAAGAGTCCTATTGTCTTCAAATTATACACATCATAATATTTTCATTAACCCAAGGTCTGGTGCGAAGATGGAATATATCGGTCCACACATTCTCGTACCTCCCCCACAAAGGGTAAACATTTTGAATACCCATAAAGCTCATAAGACGCGAAATTAACATCCGATTCCATTCTATTTCCACTAACAGAAGAACTGTTTTAAATATGGTAGAGAGCGGACCATTTCTTCTGGCACCTCCCCCACAAAGTGTCAAAATTTTGAATAACAAACAGGATCATAAAATCCGAAATAAGCATCCTGTTCCAATTTTACACTTGCCATTATTTTTAATAACACAATATCTGCTGTGGAAATGGAATATATCAGCGCAATCCTAGTAGTTTCCCCACAAAGGTTCAAAAATTTAAAAAACAAAATGCTCATAAAACGAGAAATAAGCTTCCAACCCTCTTCAAATTTCGCACACCCAATCATTTTTGCTAACGCAAAATCTGTTGTGAAGATGATAGATATCTGCCAACCCCTTCTGGTACCTCAACCACAAAGGGTCACCATTTCCAATGCTTATATCTGTCATAACTTGCGAAACATGTCAGCAATTATTTACAGCTTGGTATATCTAAATATTTCCCTTAGCCAGAAATCTGATATGAATATTTAATTAATAGAAATTTATGATTTCGTATAAAATTGGATATAAATGTTGGATTTCCTTTACATTTTTCTAGTACCAATATATCTGTTATCTCACGCATATTTCCACATTTTCCAAAAATTTGCACAACAGTTTGAATAATCATAACTCAAAGCTGAGTGTATATTTAAACCGACTGATACTTTTTTACTTGTTTTTGTGTTTTTTACATTCTGCCTGTTCCTTTAACAAGTTTTTACCAGATTTTTCCACAAATTTCCATCACATTCCTCTACATTTAAAATCACAACAAAATTGGTAACCTGTTGATATCTGTTTGGGTAACCGTTATGGGCAACGGCGTTCATACACATTTCGCTAAGCTCTGTGCCATTAGTCATTGCAAATACAACCCTGTGTTTGGCTTTCTTTTGCCAAATTTTTTGAAATTCATTCATTCTGGATTATTTTCGCAACAGAACAAGTTTGAAACCTGTCTTTTGTGTTGAATTGAATAACGTTTAAGTGTCTACACGATTTGTGTGTGTTTTTTGTTTGTTCGTCTAAACACTTTGTTGTCCAACCAACAAATTAAAAAAAGAAAAAACCTGGAATCATGGCCGCTTTGGAATCGCTGAGCAACAAAGAATTGCGTCAAAAATGCATTGAATTTGGAATGCCGAATGTACCGGTAACAGACTCGAGCCGTAAGATACTCATACGCCGCTTGGAGGCTGTGATGTCGGGTAAACCTGCTACGACTCCTAATAAGACAAATCGTCGCGAAACAATGCATGTCTCAAAGCCATCCGAAATGGCGTCATCTGCTAAAATTACAGCGGCAGCAGTCATCAATAATAATAACAACAATAGCACCACCAGTGGAAAACCAACGGCTGCCAACAGGCCCTCAAGACGTACCATTGCTGCTACGGAGAGACATGTAACCACCACAACAACAGTAAGTGAGCCAGAGTACTCAGATGTTTCACCTGATCGCGGTGAGGTGATTACACAAATGTTGCCGCCAAAAGCTAAGACGCCAGAAAAACAAACTTTGTACCCCAAATTACCGGCCAAAGAGCCCTCACCCAAGCCACAGGTGTTGAGTAAAACTGGTGTTGTCTCGACCTCGTATGTTCAGGAGTCGAGTATTAATAAGACTTATGCTGCACCTACCATTGAGGATGTTGACTCGACGGAAGATGAAATTGAAGAGGAGATCACAAAACCTATGGCAAGTGTGCCTTCCTACAGCTCCAAGTCTTATGTTCCCCTATCGGAATCAAAAGTGACCACTTCTGCATCAATGCCACCATTGGCCTCTACACTGAGCTCCAGCACCCGTTACAGTTCTTTGAATAGTTCATATAACTATAACAGCAAGCCAAGTTCAACAACACTGAGCAATATCAGCACAAGTGTGCGTAAAAATTACGAGCCACCGCCAACATTGAGAACTTCTTATCAACAACCCAGGGCAGGAAGTACACAAAAATATGTTACCACACCTGAGCCATATGATGTCGAAGATGACGACGATGAAGAGGACATGGAAGATGACGATGAGGATGATGTGGTCCTAGTTGAGGATAGTCCCATTGCTAAGGATGACATACAAACACCATTTCTTAGTCAGTTTGCACGTAACTTGGAAACACTTAAGGCCACACCGATACGTCACTCTATTGGACCCACGAAAATTACACCACCCAAATCTTCAGCAATGCGTCAGCGTGAAACGGCCGCTGCCTATAGTCGCCGTACCATAGGTGGTGGCGGCGGCGGATCTGGTGGTGGCGCCACAATTTCAGCACGCCGCTCCTATATGAAAAACGAACCAGAAGAATCACCATTCCGTCAATTCGTAATGGCCCTGGAGGAAAAATATCATCTTAAGCAAACTTTTATTATAATTTCTGTCTTTATTATAGCCATATTTATTTATGTTTTCTTTATACAAAGTGTTTAGATGTATGTGTATGTATCTCGTTTATGTAATTGAATCCAGTGTTTTCTTTTCTGTACACCCTGTTTGGGAGCTTGCCAAGAATTGGAAAATGTTTTCGTGTTTTTGGAACAAAACTAAATGGTCGTTAGAATGTTTTTTTTTTATTTTTTATGAAAATTTGTATTTTTGATATTTCAATTTCAGCTTTTTTATAAATAAAGAGAGAAAAATATTGTTTAGTTCAACACTTTATAAAAATGAAAGAAGTTTTTTTTTTGGATGATCGTTTGAGTTGATGTCTTCTATAGGCAGAACTTTTAAAGTTCAATAGGAGATCTTCTTTAAATAAGACATTTCAAAACAACTGCATGTCGATAGGAACTTTTAATGGTCTTCTATGTGACAGGAGACCTAAAAGCCGTCCATGTATAGAAGACTTCTGGAAGGTCTTCTGAAGGAAAAAGGCATTTTGAACATCTATAAACAGGGACCTTCCAAAGGTATTCTATAGACAGAAGCCTTTCAAAATACATTCTATGGACAAAAGTCCTTTTGAAGGTATTCTATGGACAGAAGTCTTTTGAATGGCCTTCATATTTTGTAAGTAAACACAAAATCTCCACTTGGAAGTCTAATGAACAAATTCCCTTTGAAGGTGTTTTATACCCTCAGCCATATGGTACGGCCAACACGTGCCTCATTGAATTTATGGTTTTAGACCCTAGGTCCTTTTGGACCAAATCCGTTTCAACACATTTGCAGTCGATCTAGCGGATTCCCGTCCTTCCGTCTGTCGGCCGATGGGCACGATAACATTCGAATGGAGTATCCGATTTGATCCAAACTTGGTACATCGTAATATTATTGTCAAACTTAGATCGAGTTCGGAGATGGACAATATCGGTCCACTCCTTTTGGTACATCCCCCACAAAATGTCGAAATTTTCAAAGAAAATAATTTACTGCACAGAAAGAGAAAGGATAATCCGACTTTTGCTCCAACTTTGCAAATCACAATATATTTACATCAGTGCTAGGTCAGGTGCGAAAATGTACAATATCGGTCCACTCCATCCAGAACTTCCCCCACAAAGGGTCAAAATTTTGACGAATTATAACTCCAATAAAATGCGATGTAAGTGTTCGATTATCTTCAAATTAAGCACATCTCAAGGTCTGGTGTGAAGATGGAATATATCGATCCACTCCTTCTGGTACCTCCCCCACATAGGTTCAACGTTTTGAAGCTCATAAAACGCGATATTAACATCCAATTCCATTCAGACTTGGCTAACCTCAATAATTCCGTTAACATAAGATCTGTTATAAAGATGGTAGAGATCGGCCCATTCCTTCTGATACCTTCTTCACAAACGGTCAAAGTTTTGAATAACCAAAAATACATAAAAGCCGAAATTAGCATTCTCTTAAAATTACACACATCACAATATTTTTATCAACCCAAGATCTGCTGTGAGGATGGGATATATCGGTCCACTCCTTCTGGTACCTCCCCCACAAAGAGTCGATATTTGGAGTATCCATGAAGTTCATAAAACACGAAATTAACATCCGATTCCATTCAGACTTGGCACGTCTCAATATTTTCATCAACACAAGATCCGTTGTAAAGATGGTAGAGATCGCACCATTTCTTCTAGTATCTCCCCCACTTAGGGTTCAACATTTTGAAAAACAAAACGCTCAAAGAAAGCTAAATAAGCAGCTATCTCGCTTCAAATTTCACACGCCAACTGTTTCGGGAGGGTCAACTCTTTAAATAACCATTACTCAAGGCGGGGGTATACATCTGTCGGCAAAACCGACTGATACTATGTATTTCACTTGTTTTATAATAGAAGCTACCAGTGAAAGGGGTTTGCATTGGACAGTGTCCCTAGAGACGAACTTCCTACTGGAAGTCCACGACCCCTTAGGTTGTGACTCCAATTCGTTTTCCCCAAGGCAGAGGGAATACTTCCATTGTATAGGAGGATATCTCCTTATGTTTACATGACCTCGTGCATCTCTGACAGAGAAATGCATTCGAGTATTAAAAAAGATCCAGTCATTTTCCAAAATTTGAAAGAATCCTGTAGAAACTTGAGATATAACAGACTCCTTCCATTGATCTAGTAGACATAGCCACAATACGCATGCCCTTCCAGGTTTCACTGTTATACTCGTAACAGGCTAATTCTTGGGAGTCCCAGTTTGTACATTGCTTAGTCTTGTCGGGACCTTTGTAGTCTTTTGATCACCTTTTTGTAAAAAATGTTTTTTTTTCTGTAAATCAATCCAGGATTATGGGTTTTGCTGCTTTTCCAAATGAAAGTCTTCCTTGGTTTAGCTAATTGTTAACTTGTTTTTTTTTTGTTTTATTTGTATTTTTTTTTATTAAAAAGAAATTGTTGTTTTTTTTTTCGAATATCATATTGTTGATCTTAGATTTGTTTTTGGGGGTTTCGTTAAATAAATTAATTGTTTTGTTGTTGTACAAATTAATTATTTTGGGAAATTATTATTAATTGTAGTTCTCTTTCGTTTTATTATTTATTTAATAATTATATAGCCTAGTTTATTAACTATTTACACTAACAAAAGGTAGGAAAATAAGAGAAAAGCTTAGAGAAGAAGAAAAAACAAAACTGATATGATGATGGCAAATTTGTTCAAAACTACATCACTGCGTCTGGGAAAGAAACGATATCACTCAATCACAATTGTTTTAAATCGGCAGATAGCAAGAAAAGAAAATATTCACAATAAATGCTTTGAAAAAATGACCATTTGTTTGTTGTTTTTGGTTTTTATAGGAAAGCAGAGGTTGTGGTGTTCAAAGGGAAGTGTGGGGGACAGGGAATAGAGGCTAGCAGTTTCTTAACTATGACTAAAACTTATATAACAAAAAAAAAAGATAAACTTGACTAATGGATTAAGCTTAGGATGCCATTTGTGTGGGTGTGTGTTTTTTGTTTTTTTAAATGGACTTTGTGGTGTGTTAATTAAAATGGAACTTAAACTGGAACGGTGACCCGTGATGGAAGTGGGCAAACGGTGAGCCACCATGGAAACCACCATGGCCACCCTGTTGACCCTCAGGATCCAAGGGATCAATGCCCTGATCGAATTGTCTTCGCTTTTCGGGATCTGTGAGCACCTCCTTGGCAGCTGCCACATCAATGAATTTCTTTTCAGCCTTTTTCTTTTCATCACCCTGGAAATTATCGGGATGCCATTTTTGCGCCGCCTTACGATAGGCTTTGACAATTTCCTGTTTTGTGGCATCACGCTTAACACCTAATATCTTATAATAGTCTCTACGTTCAGCTTGTTTTTGCAGTCTTTTGGCTTTTTCAATGCCATCTTTGGCTCGCTGCAGATGTTCGTCCATACCCAATGCCTCTTGGTAGTCGTGTATGGCATCATCATACATTTCCGAGCCAATATATGCCTCGGCGCGATCACAGAGAATTTGAGCATCTTTCATAATGTCCAAGGCATCTTTGCAATAGCCCAATGCCTTGCCATGATCTTCATTGCGCACCGAACATGTACACAATATCCGTTTGGCTTCATAGATTATCATTTGTTCCTCCTTTTCATGTTTCAACACCGATTCCGCTGACTGGATACAATCTTGATATTGTTTCTCATCACGATATTGTTCGGCATTGGAAATACCTTTTTCCACCTTTCGCAGTTTCTTGTAGAATGGGAAGCAGTCTTTGTGTTCTGGATCGAATTTCAAACATTCACGTATTTCCTTAAGGGCACTGGTGGCATGACCGATTTTATACAACAGCAAGGCCAGGTGATAGTAACCCTCTGTGCTGTCCTGTGAAAGTTTATTCACCGACCGTAAATCCGAAATGGCAGCTAAGAGATCATTTAATTCAATATAGGCATCAGCTCTGGTTTGGCGGAAGGCAACACACCATGGAGAAATTTCCAAGAGTTGTGTCAACATTGGTATGGCATTTCTGTAATCACCGCGTGCCATCAAATCTTGTACAATCACCCATTGTTCTTCAGCGGGTTCAATGCGGGAATATTGCTCGTGGGCATGTTCATTGTGTGGTTCTTCATAGAGCTGAAAGGAAAAGTCGGAAAGAAAGAGAAAATCAATTTATGTTCGAAAATGGCTCTCTATGGGATGGAGAAGGAGGGAATTGATTGCGGATGGGTATGACATTGGGAGACAGATATTTACAAGACCATTTCAAGAATCTCTATAAACAGAGGAACCTATGAAAGTCTATTACAACTAAAACACCTTTAAAGGTCTTTCAACCTTTTTAAAACGACCTTTTACCTTCGACCTTCTACCGACAGAGGTCTTTATGGACAAAATATTTTTATTTAAAATCCTACTACAGAGAGACGACCTATTCAAGTCTTTCTCAAGACAGAGTCTTTATGGACAAAATATTTTTTATAAGGATTTCCCTTTTTAAGTTCTTCAGTTAAAGTTGTTCTATGAAGTTTCCTAAACATAGAGGATTTTTTTCACTAAAAACATCTGCAAATCATTTGGAAATATAAGGTCCATAGTACTTTACGGGGCGTGTTTTTTCCTCGAGACAATTTTTATAAAAGATTGTAGTTAGAAGATAATCTGAGGAACATTTAAATTCTCCAACATTTATGACTGCTTCCAGCAATTATGGGAAGCTTCTATTAGCTTTTCAAATACATTTGGAATTTATGTTGAAATCTGCCCACCCAATCGTAATATGTGTCATCATAGATAAGATATGAAAATCTTTAATCTTTTTGTGACAACCACTATTTGATTGTTATTTCAATATCGTACTTACCACCTGCTCAAAATCAGCAGCGGCTTGCTGATATTCGCCGCTTTTCATGTAAACTGTGCCACGTTGATAACGGGCCGCTGTGAAGTCTGGTTTCAATTCCAAGACCCGGCTAAAATCTTGAATGGCAAAACGCGTTTTACCCATGGCCAAATAGACTGTGCCGCGTTTGAACAAAGTCAAATAGTTGTTGGGATCGCCCTCTACGGAAATAAACAAAGAAAATGCAAATGATAATTTCCCGATTGATTACAAAATTGCACTCTTCTAACTTACCAACTGCGGCGTGGTAATGTGTCAATGCATCACTTAGCTGATTGTGGGCCAAAAACTGCTTACCCAATTCCAAATGATTTTCAATATCGGCTGAATTTGGAACAGCTTCAGCACCTGTTAAATATTCAAATAATGGAAAACAATTAATAAATGTTTTCAGATTTATGTTAATTAAATATTCATGCATACACCAATAATAGTGGGTGTGCGGTATTTGAACCAAATAAGCAGTGGGACGCAAGGTCAAGGTCATGGTTTTTTAGTTTTTTTTTTTTGTTTAAACAAATGTTTTGGAAGTCATATTTAACCTAACCCTCTGATATAGGGCCACCGGTCGGTATTGTGTTGTACTGACCTTCTAAAAATAATTCCAACAGCAACAAAAGCAAACAGGCTGTCAACTTTTTTTCACCTCCCAGGCTAAGTATTTCGGGTAATGACACCACCATCTTGTCAACAAATAGTTTTTGCACTCACAAATTTACCAAACATTAAAATTCTTATGTTTACGTTTGGGAAATTCTAGAAAATCTTTTAAATTGAATTCTGCTCGATGGGGGTTTGGTAGCGTGGCAGACTTCAACGACAGACGACAAATGACCAAAGCACTTTCTATATGTGCTCTTGCTTTTTATCAGTGTAAATTCTTGCCACTTCCTCTTTAGGCTTATGTTCTGCTGCTACTGCTGTTCAAGACTCTCAGGTAGATAGATATAATTTATTTGTAGGCAATTTTGCAACAAGAATATTTCGGTTTTCTTGTATTGAACTTGCGATTCTTGTTTGTTTGCAGACAATTATTGATTGCAATAATTTTGTTCTTGTTTTCTCGTCGATCTATTTATTGAAAATGGCCAGCCAAATTCAATTCGTTCCGTAGCAGAGGGCGAAGCCGATGTGAAATTCTCGGCGGCGGCGGCTAAGCATAAAAAAGTCGGCGGCGGCTAAAAGTCGACTGCAGCCGAAAGAAAATCGGCGGCGGCGGCTAAAGCAATATACGGCCGGCGGCGGCTAAAAGTCGGCTACAGACGACGACTTTAACGTGAACAAATAATTTCGGTTGTTTTAATAACTGTCAATTCATTTAATTTAAAATAAAAATGAAAATATAAGTTTATATGCACATTTGTTGCTCATTAAAAATTAATAAAAATACTTTAATTTGATAAAAATGGTTCGACGACTGCCTTGTTATCGTGAACAAACAATTGTTTCTTTACTGTTGCCGGATGCAGGCTGCTTCTCTTTGCATTTACACAATTCCCGGCATATGAAAATGCTTGCTCTGAAGATGCTGATGTGGCTGGAATTCCAAAGCACATATTTGCTACAGTAGCAACATTTGGAAAGATCTATAAAAAGTAAATGGTCAAAACGTAACCTGCTTAAAACAAGTTTAAGATGTGAATCTTTAACGTACTTGTTTGTTCTGTCGCCACCAATCTAGAGGCTCAACCGCCTCGACTTTCATTTCCAAATATTTTCTTATTTCTAACTCTACGTTATTTTGTACATTAGAAGGCGATGGTCCCATAAATTCCAACATTCTTTGACGACTAGCTGATATTTTCTGCAAGTAAAATATACGTCAGTTAAGTTTACCTTTACATTTATTAAAACATAATACCTGTTTTTTTGCATTTGGTTCAGTGCTCGTTGATGGCTCATTTAATAATGTGTCATCGATTTCCTTTAATTTTTCAATTTCTTCCATAATCAAGTTCTCCTTGGAAATTGGAGACAGAACATCATGCACAAGTTCCAAGGAGTTTGGCGATTGTTTGGGTATCTGTAGTATATATTTATCTAAAACAGGCCAGTTTTTTTGGCATGGGTCCATAAGCGCAGCTACAACATACATTCTATATACTTTGAATCGCTTCGTGAAGTTTTGCACAGCGAAATTGCATAAATTGATTGTTAGTTCAAAAGACGCTTTTTCTTCTTCTTTCTTCAATGAGGACATAATGGATTCCTGAAAATAAATACACGAAGATATCGTCGGATAATCTTGGCCTTGAAGGTGTTTTGTGGCGTCCTCAAAAAATTTTAAAAACGTGCCAAATTCCGTTATAATTTGCTTTTCCATTGTCCCAATCACTAACAGTTCCTTTTTAGCTTTAACTAATGCTACATTTATAGTGGATATATTATTCGTATAGCTTTGAATCATTGCAAGCAGAGAGTTCCAACGTGTTGCAACGGAATTTTTCAAAGAGGTGTGGTGCTTGACGTTTAAAGTTGCTTCATATTGTTCAGTAAAATAGTCATCTCCATGTGGAAATTGTTCGCAACTATCCAAACTCTCCAAAATTATTTCAACCTCTGTAAATATTTTTTCTAAATCGTTTTGTTCCTCCATATTTTGAATATTTGATATTTCTTCATAGCTATACATTAAGCTGCCATAATTTTTTTTTAATTTTGATATTATGTTATTAATATTTTCAAATGACTTGTTGTTTAGTATATCTTCCATCAAAAATCTGTGTAAAACATGAGCCTTACAACCATATCTTGGTATATTTTTAATTTTTAAAGCTGAAACGATGTTGCTTCCACCATCAGTAACAGCACATATGTTTTTTTCCAACAGATTAAATTCACATAAAGCTTCTTCAATTTTTTCTACAACTGCTAGTCCAGTGTGAGGTCGTGGAAAGATCTCTGTCTTGAGCGTTACAATTTGCATTTGAAAATTTTGGCAGAAATGCACTTTTATGTTTATGTAAGACAAGTGCTTATGTTTATCTGACCACATATCCAATACAAGTGTAACATTTTTGGGCGACTCTTTAAGGCTTGTTTTTACGTGGTCCAAATATATGTTATAAACATCGTTTAAAGCCGTCGTAGCTATTGTCCTATCTGTGGGGAATATAGCCTTTGGGTTTAAGAAAGATACCAATTTCTTAAATCCTGGCCTTTCAACAATTTTAAACGGTTGCAAATCCCAACAGCACATTTCGGCGACCCGGCGAGCATTTTGTTGTTTGTTGTTACAACTTGTTGAGGATTTCAATGCATTTTGTGTCATTGTTGAACTTTTCAGGTTATTTAAAGATTTCACGTCCAAGTTATGTACAGCTCGTAGATGGTTCATATAATTTGTGGTTGATGTTGATTTTCCAAAACTAAAATCATAAACATTTACACACATGCGAATGGAAAAAATTAGAAATTCTTACCTTTTTAAATTGGTCTTTTCATCCAAACACAATTTGCAAAATTTATATTTTTGAAGAATATGCCTCTTTTTAAAATAGAGATCACCAAAATATTTCCAACACATTGATATACCACCTTCATTTACAACAACCTTTGCCAAATTTTTAAATTCATTTTTCTTTTTAAAAAGATCTTCATATTGAGATACATCTGCATATGGAGAAATATTGATTTCAGTATCAACAGATTCGTCAGAATCGGATTCTGATTTAGTCAAAACTGTTTGACCCTTTCAGTTAGCGGAAAAATAATTTTTAATATTCCTTTGGCACATTTTGCATTCTTTTCTTTGAACAAGCAAAAACACAACGAATCTTTGGCAAAAAATATGGTTGCCACTCCATAAAAAATTCGTAAGTTACAAAAGGTTGCCAAAGGTTTTGTGATAAAAAAACAAATCTACAAAGTCATAATACCCTTACCACTATGTGGTGTAGGGTATAATTAATATAAATAGCCTACACGTTTTAGCCTCTCGAAGACGAGCGCACAATGTAAATTATCGTCCAATAATGAGCATTATAATATGTTAATTTATCGATAAGATTAAAAGACATATTTATACAAATTTGCTGTATAAATTTATATTTTTCAACGGCTTAGCCGACTCAGTCGGCTAAAAATTTGAGCCGATGAGAGCCGCATACATCAGCGGCGGCTCAGATCACTTAAAAAAAGTCGGCGGCGGCTGCACGCCGACTGCGAGCCGATCGGCTTCGTGCTCTGTTCCGTAGTATATTTTAAGTTTTATCGTTTCTCTTTTCACCTTCTTATTCAAAACACACGTCAGTTCAGAGTGTAAACAGAGTTGCATTAGATGTGGTCTTCTGTGATTGGTTATTTGTGCGGAGAGTCCCATGGGTGTGAGATGAAATTCTTGACGCCGTTAGAATTGTGGGTTGATAATTGCGCCGCTTCACAAATAACGGCTTTGAATGGGGGAAATAAATGTTCTTATCGCCCATATTGGGGAAATTGTGGTTTTTCTCATAAAAAATAAGGAAATTATTACAGAAAATAGATGTAATTAATAAATGCCACAGGAAATATGCATATATTTAGCTAAAGTACTTAAAACTAAACTAAATAATGTAGAAAAATAATTGCGCCGCTACACAAATAACGGCTTTGAATTAGGAAAAAATTGATGTAACTAAAAAATGCTATAGGAAATATGTATATTTAGCAAATTTTTTTAAAATAAACCTTAATAATGAAGACAAATAAGGTATTAATCACGGTCATCCCATTCACTCATCTCTTGGGATTTATGGCACAACCAGGAAGGTAGTTTAGCATCGAAAGAGTATGAAAATGCAACTCTGTCTTTTAAGCCAAACATGTTTGCATAAAACACTTTACTCAAATTATCAACTCTTTTGATAATTCGTCAAATAATGTACCATACTTAACCAATTTTCCATTGATAAACATTTCAATAATCAAATGTTTTTTGTTTTGTGAAATTTATTTTATTTAGAATATATTTAAAGTATAACATTTAGCATATATGGTTAAAAGTTGGATTAGTTTTTAATACAAAAATTATTTAAAATATAAAATAAATTTAAGTAATTATAAAAAAGTTGCTTAATGGAAAATAAAATTCTCCTAAAAAGGACTTTTAAAAAGGAATAAATGTTAGGATTTTGTTTTATTTAGTGAAGGTAAATTTAATATTTGGTTTCGGTTTCATTTTAAAAGCCTTTGGCTCAACTACTAGTAATACACATCATTTGTCATAAAGGTAACTTAATTAATATTTCTTTAATTAAAATATATAATTTATTCTTCTCGTTTAAAATAAATGCATTTTTTATATTTTAAATTTATTTTGAGCATTGTAATTGCTTCTACTACCGCTACATATTTTTTTGTTGTCAAATATAACTTTTCTTGTTCACCTTTAAAACTAATGGTCATTTGTGCTATATATGTTTTTGTAAGGTTATGTTTCACAAAAATTGTGTTTTTGTTTTGTTTTTTTTTTCGAAAACAAAAATAATATATATTGTCTAATAAATTTATTGCTAAGTGATCACAATATTTACCAAGTCATCCAACGGCAGCTCTGTGTTCTTTTTATTATTATTGATATTATTTTTATTATTAAAATTGGTATTTAGATTTGTATTTGCAGCCACTTCCTCTTCGTCGTGCATCTTTTTCATGTGCCCTTTAAACAATATAAAATGCGGGGGAGTTATAAGAAAGTTATACTGTCTCTGGTATTCTACTTACATTTAAACTTAATATGAGTCACAAAACTTTCACTGCACAAATCGCATTTATAATAGGTCTTACCGCTGTGTATGCGTTCGTGTAAACGCAATGATTTTTCAAAGAGATATGATCGACCACATGTGGTGCAGGTGAAATTCTTTTCTAGAACTAAGAGAAAAAACTATTTATTAAAATTCCGCAAAAATTAATTCCGAATGATAAACGTAATTTCGTAAAATCAACATATTAGACAAAGTCAATGACAGAAATAGCAGAACTGTATATGTTTATATTCATGGTAAAATTAAGAAGGTGAAGTAATTTCAAATACGAATATCCATCTCTGCATTTTTTGTAATTTACCTTGTCAAATTTTATTTCATAAAAACAGGTTCCCATATCTGATTTGTGTATATACAATGGATTTATAAATATGAATTTTGACAATGAGATGTTTGTTTGAAATGGGCTACCCTAAATAATTGCATCATAATAAAGAGCCAGTAAATTAAGCTTACGTTTTGGAAAATAAATCTTTTTATACGTTTCAAATAAATCAAGCTATAAAGTAAATGTAAACATAACCTTACCCTCATGACTTCTACGATGTTGGGTTAGGACATATTTTAAAGCAAAACCTTTGCCACAAATATCACATATATTTGGTTTTTCGGAAGAATGCGTTTTCAAATGCCATTTCATGTCCTGGGAACGTTTAAAACGTTTCGGGCACTGGGGACAGGCATGGGGTCTAAAAATATAAAATAATTAAATATAAGTAAAAACCAATACTTCACAATTAAAAGTTAACAAATTGAATTGAATCTCCTCCCACCTTCCCTCTATCGAATGCACAGCCATATGCCGTTCCAAGGCCGATTTCATATTGAAACGTTTATCACATTTCTCACAGTGGAACAGACCGGTAAAGCTTTTCGGTTTCTTATTCATAATAATACGTTTATTATTTGCTATTTTTACGGCGCCCTTATTCTCCTTGTGATCCTCCAACATATGATCCTTGAGTATTAGTTCATTTTCATAACGTTTACGACATAACATACATTCGGTTTTTTCTATCAATGTCAAATTGTCCAAATGGTATTCGAGCATGTGGAGGCGTTTTTCAAAGTATGAGGTGAAGACTGGAGGAAAAATTAAGAAATTATTAAGAATGTTGAATGATTTTCATTAGATGATTTACCTTCGGGACATCTGCCACACTTGTAAGGCTTCTCTCCGCCATGTTGTCGAAATATATGCCATCGTAAGGTTTTCAAATGGAAGAAATCTGAAGTGAAGTAAAAAGTTCATTCTTCAATTCATTTCTTCAATCCCATCCCATCGTTAACAATTTATAAGGCACGAATTGATATTTCCCATCTCTGTATAAGCTGTATCAAATATCTGTATTACGTTTCTATCTGCTTAGTTTGAAAGTTTCCATCTCTGTAATGTTTAGTCCTATGAGGTGGCAACCCTTGTATCTGCGACAATTGCAGTGTTACCGTAATTTATAAAGCCGAAGCTTGTAGTAAGAGAGTGACTTGTCAAAATCACTCTCAGAAAACTTTAAAAAGTTATTGAGGTGGGAATACGCATGGATCAATAAGAAAGTTTGCTTAACTTAACTTAACAAAGAAAGTAGAAAAATGCAACTCTGTGCTGGGGTCTTATAGTGTCAAATGGACTTCTAAATATGGAACTTTTAAATTTTATTATGTAAACATGGTAGAAACATTGATATGTCGAAATTTTTTTAATGTTTCTTCAAAAATAAGTAGATTTGTGGGCTTTCCTATACGACGCCAATCGGAGGTTGTTATTATATGCATTTCTTTAACAATTTCTACAAATTAAAATATTTTTTCATTGAAAATTTTCAATTTCAAAATCGGTTTGACAGTTCATTGTCCCAGCAGCTGTGCAGATGCGACTACCTTAATTCTTCTACCATGGGTTCCTGTATTTATTAATATTAACGTACATGGTAGAAGAATACATGTAGTCGCATCGACTCAGCTGTTGGGACAATGAGCTGTCAATTGCAATTGCAATTTTCGAATGAAAAATTATTTAAATTTGTAAAAATTGTTAAAAAAGCATATCAAAACAACATCCAATTGGCGTCGCATTTATAAAAACATGTACAAATCTACTTTCTTTTGAAGAAACATTTAATACGTTTTGACATTATAATGTTCGCAAGAGTTGATACATCTACCTCTTTTCTTCTACATAAGAACATATAACCTCGTTTACATGCACCTTTTTTGTTTATAAATCCAATGGAGTTTGGTTGTTAAGATTAGTGAACCCTTGGGAATAATGAAAGATGATTACACAAATTACGCATTTTTCTTAGTTTTCCGTCAAAGTACGATTTTTTTTATAAAAATGTTGAGGTTATGTCCTAACATTCCCACATTCTTCACAAAACAAATTCAATATTTACTTACATTTACCACAAAACGAGCACACCTCTTGACTGCGGAACCCCGTATGTGTCTCCTCGTGCACCTTCAAGTGTCGCTGATTGATAAACAAACGATCACAGTAACTACATTTCAATTGTTCCTCGGGATTATGCCATTTCATGTGATAATTAAGGCTTTTACTGGAACAAAAACTCTTGGCACACAGGGTACAATCGAAATCGGTACCGCTGTGATATTTCTCAACGTGATTGCGTAAATTAAATTTATCGGCATATTTTTTGCCACACACAGTACACGAATGTAGTTTCTGGCTATGTGACTCCTTTAAGTGTGTCGTACGTGAGGCGGCATCCATAAAACATTCCTCACAATAGGGACAATTGTATGGTGTATTATGCGAACCATGAAATTCGGCAATGTGCGCCAAAAGCTCACGCTGAGTTTGGAAATGTTCACTGGAGCTATTCTTCCATTTGTAACAGTATTTACATTCAAAGGTTATATTTAAATTATCGGCATTGTAATCAACGTTGTCTTCCCCGACCTCGTCATCTATATGCAGCCCTTCATTGTTGTGATCATTTGCCACCAAAAACTGGTGTTCCATTCCATTGCCATAGATATTATTTTGATTGTGATCCTGCTGATTCATAATAATGCTTCCATCGATATCCCCCTCTCTGTCATCGATAACATCTAATTCGTCGATAAGTTCTTCAATGAGATCATTTTCGTCTAAATCGTTGGTATCTTCGGTAATTATTTCATGGTTGTTGCAGCTGTTGTTAGTCGTTATGGAAGTGCTTTGTGTATCGTCTAAGAAGTCGTCGTTGGGACAGCAATTGGTTTTATCATTTTCGTTTATTATAACGGCAGTGTCATTGGTATTTGTTGTTATTGCTAACGGTCTAAATGAAACCTCGGTGTTGTTGTTGCTGCCAGCATCCGTGGCTATATGTAAAATGTTGTCCAAGGGCTCGGTGTGAACTGTAATAGATAAAGGGAAACAAATATTAGTTGGTTTACCCAGACAAAGTTACTTTGACAAGGAAACGTGGTAGAAGAATACAGGTCTACACAGTTGCTGGGACAATAAACTGTCAAACCAATTTTGAAATTGTCATTTCCAAGTCCGACAGCTGTTAAAATTATTCCAGTGACAGCTCATTTTATTGTGTACAAAAGCATTTTGGTGAGAATTTTCCAGTAAAAAGTTATTTGTGATGGAATTCAAGCGTGATAGTGTGATTTATTTATATTTGGCTGGAAACCCACAAGTGGCTATCGTTAGAGCACTCCATCATTTAAATGTGAATAAATCTTTTGTGTCTCGTATCATCGCTCGTTACCGTAATACTGGTAGCGTAGCCCGACGTCAAGGAAGTGGACAGAAGAAAACAGCAACATCAGCAGAAATGGTTCGAAAAGTAAAGAAGCGACTTGATCGAAACCCGCGTCGCAGTGGCCGAGAAATGGCTCGTGAGCTGAACATATCGCAATATTCCATTAGGCAAATATTGAAAAATGTGCTCGGAGTAAAGCCATTGAAATTGCAAAAAGTGCAAGAACTTACACCGCAACGGAACGGAAATAGACTTAATAGAGCTAAAGAGTTGCTTCGCTTGACCGAAAATGGTAAACTGCCGAATTGGGGTTTCTTCGATGAGAAAACATTCGTTGTCCAGTAGTTTGTAAACAAACAAAATGATCGTGTTTACTTGCCAAAGAGGTCAGCTGAAAATGTGCACCTTCGGTTGCCCACCAGAACTTAAGCGCCGGCCATGGTGATGGTGTGGGCTGCCATAACAGCCGATGGTCGCTCTCCGCTCGTATTAATCGACCGTAACATCAGAATAAATGCCGAATATTATCGCGAAAATATTCTGGAGGGTTTATTAAAGCCTTGGCCATGCAAACATTTATGCCGTAGACCTTGGACATTCCAACAGACTCGGCACCATCGCATTCAGCACGCGCCAAAATGGTAACAAAATGAGGTTCCTCGCTTCATTTCCAGCACACAATGGCCACCAAAATATCCGGATTCCAATCCGTTGGACTATTATGTCTGAAGTATTTTGGAAAGCAAGGTTGGCACTAAAAAATACCAAAGTATCGATCACCTCAAGCAAGCGCTTCGTCGGGAATGGGCCGGGAAATACAGCAGAGCAACATTCAGGCAGCGTCTGACGGTTACATTGGCCGTTTGAAGGCCATAATTCGTGGCAAAGGTGACTAATTCAAATAAATCTAAACTTATTCTAAAATTTGATGCTATTTCCAACATTTTTTGCTTTCATTCAATAAAAATTAAAAAAAAATAGTAAAAATTATGACGTTTGACTTTGTGGCAGTTTTTTATCTCACCCTGTAAGGCTGAGAGTATAATCATACTTTTGACAACATCTCATTGTCCGAATATATATTTTCCATAAATCCATTATATTTTCTCAAATCAGAGATGGGAACCTGTTTTTAATGAAGTAGCATAACTTCAACAACTTCTATATGGTTGTTGTTTCAATTTGATGTACAATACTCAAGCTATTACTTATATTCTTATACCATGTTCCCACACCACTCATACGCCCCTGGGCTCTATAAAGCAGTCTTTTATTGCAGCTAATGTCCCCTTAACACTTTTGTTTACATTTTTTAATGTTTAAATTTATGCTCGTTGTAAAGCATGGTAGAAGAATATAGGTTGACGCGTCGACACAGCTGCTGGGACAATGAACTGTCAAACCAATTTTGTAGTTGAAAATTTTGAATGAAAAATTATTTAAATTTGTACAAATTCTTGAAAAATGCATATCATGAAAACCTCCGATTGGCGTCGTATAAGAAAACTTATAAAAATCTATTTATTTTTGAAAAAAAAAATTTAATGTTTTTTCAAATATGAGTAGATTTTTATATATTTACTTATACGACGTCATTCGGAGGTTATTATAATTCGTATTTTTCAAAAATTTTTACAAATTTTAATGATTATTCATTCAACATTTTCCATTCTAAAATTGGTTTGACAGTTCATTGTCCCAGAATCTGTGTCGATGCGTTTACCTATATTCTCCTACCATGTTATAACGGTAAAATACTCCATCACTACTAATATGACTCAAAACGTATGAAAATATACGTGAAATATATCATGATCAATAAATAATCATGCTAAAATACCCCAATGTAAACGTAGCCTTACGAAATTAGCATTTTCTTACTTTGTTTCTTATTTCCACATCAAACATACGCCCCAAAGCACCATAAACAAACCTTTCAATTACAGCTAACGGTCCCCCTTAACACTTTTGTTTACATTACCATAATCTCTGTTTTGCAATAGCAACACAACCACCAACCACTTTGCTAATTAAAAAGTCCCATAAAAATTGTTACCAATCAATCGAAATTACCACATAAATGGGTCTCAACAGGATGTGTCGTTTGTTGGTGGCTGCGACACATAAAAATCATCAACATTCCCGGAAGTCTAAATAGCTTCTCTTAATGGCAATTGCAAAAACATGTTTGCGGGCATTACTTAAAAACCCATAAACAAATGATGAAGGGTGGGGGTGGAAGGCGGGTGGTTGACGTTGCGACAGGGAAAAAATCTAAAAATCAACAAGAGTCCATTGACCTGCCTCAATTACAAAACAAAACAAAATGAAACGAAAAACACAAACAAACTGAAATGGAAAATAAAAACAATGTTGCAGAGGAATGAATGATAGATTCCTACTTGGATGTGTGGCTGTGTGTGTGTGGTGGGTATGCCACTCACTGTATGTTTGAAAGGCGCTCTCATTTGTCCTGCCAAATAACTGCTCTCAACTTACCCATTCCTTTCAACAAGAGAATTTGCATACCAAACGTTGTTGGAAGTGGATGTTTGACCCATCTACAGTGCTCTGTTCGGGTTCAATACTCACCAATATTATTGCTAATACTACTACTAGTACTATTATTGTTGCTGCAGGTTTTGAGTAAATTCTTCTCCATGCCTGGCGTAACTGGAGTAACAACAATGGTTGCCATGACTGGTGGTGGTGCTTGTGCTGTTGTTGCTGTTGTCGATTCTAATGCAGTATTTGTAACACTTTTTGGGGATATTGTGGTAGTTAAATCATCCTTGTTATCCACTTCAATGGAGTGCCGTTGTTCAAAGCTCTCGAAAACAACAGCTTCATGTGCTCCACCTCCCCCTCCATCCCCATCGTGCATACTCTGGGTATCGATTTTATCAAATATATTGCTTAAGATTTGTTGAGCCTCTAGGCACTGTAAACGAAACTCGGCTACTGTGCAAAATTTCGAAAAACAATCGGAACATATTTTTTGGGGCAGACCATCGTTGCAGGATATCTGTGGCAAAGAACAATTCTGTTATTTCTTTTTATTTGAAGTCAAAAAAAAAGTAGCTACCTTAATTTTCCAGCTACTTAGGACAATGTGTATACGCTCTGTTTCGGGTTTCCAGTGCTGGACATTGAATAAATCGAGCCATTGTGTGGTATTATCAAAATCACACTTGGCACAAGTGCGACATGTTTCCATGATGATGGTTTTTTCCTGCTAAGCTTTTGGTTTTTAAAATTCCTTAAAATCGTATATTTTCTCTTGGTGTTTTATCTTTATTTTTTCCAAACATCCAATCAACCGTACATACACACAATCAAGCCAAAAAAATATTTTCCTCTAGCACTCCCACAAATTTGACATCCTTCTTATGCGAGTTCCAATTGGCAACTGATGTTAAAATTTTCTCCCCAAAAAATCGTTATTTCATTAAAACTGTTCAAAGTTGTTTGTTCTTCTCGTTGCTGTTGCTGTTGTTGTTTTTTTTTTTTCTTCTTTTCTGTGCCATCGAGCCAACATCAGAGACGATGAAAAAAAATATATATCAGCAAAGCCAACCAGCCAGATATCCTCGTGCCTGGTGGCTGGCTAACAAAATTATGTTATGCGTACATCGGCTTTTATGTTTGTTCTAAAATCGTTTCACGAAGATGATAGGGAGGAAGAAGAAAACGACATCTCCCAACATAAATCGTCGTCCAGTAACACAGTTTTTCAGTTTTTCTTGGGGCCTAAATAGCTCGGTCAAACTAATTTCTGTGCTGTGTTTATGTGCCAAACAGAAACAGGCAGGCAGACTCCTGTCAGTCAGCCAAGCAGCCAGCCAGCCAGCCTATCAGAGAAGTTCCTCTTTAACGAGTGAGAGTAAATGTCTCACTCAGCAATCTCCCAACTCCTCCTGAGGGAGCGAACAAAACAAATGTTACTAGGTTGAGTACACATTAGAATTTGCAACAAAAACAACACAATTAGCACACGCATGCACAAACTCGCACTCACACAAACTCTCACACACTCTCGCATTGCCAAAGGAATAGTTAACAGACGACCTTCACATTTCTTTTTTTATTTTGTTAGATGTTGTTGATTTGCAGCTTTCTTCTTCTTCTTCCTCCCTTTTTGCTATGGGCTTTGCACAATTGCAGCCAACCGACACAGGACGAACGAACAGCCAGCCAGCCAAGGCAAGTCAAATACAAGTGACAAGTGTTTGGCTGCACTACAACTATCCTCAATGATATTGTTATTGTTGTAGTAGTTATACACCCATTAAAAAGGGGTTAAAAAACCTGGCACCTTGTAGTTTCTTTCGATTTTGCAACAACACGCAACACACACTACTTTTACTCAAGCATAAAAATGCCTTTGGCGCACAATGGTTGGATTTTGGAGGTCTCCAAAAGGAAAACGACGACAGCAACAACAACATCTCAGCTGAGTTTCTTCTGTTATTCTCACCCAGTTTTTGTTTGTTTACATTTTTCTATTGCAAAAACACGAAGAAGAAGAAAAGACACACACACACACACACACTCACACGACAACTTGCATTTGCGCATTTACATTACATGCCGGGGAGGTATAAAACGAGGCCGATGAACAACAAATAATAGAAATTAAAAACATAAACAACAACACACACACCCATGCACACACACACACAAATTAAGTGAAAGGTTTTGTATTGTAAATAATCACAAGAATCAACTTTCTCGTTGCATTTTTATTGGCACAATGGGTTAAGGTTATAGTTGTTTTGCACAAAAGTGTAGCATATTTTTAGGCGTAACCAATTTCTTTTTTTTTAATATTCAAAGGAATGTATAAAATAAAAAGAAGAGTTAAATTGTGTAGCATTAAAGGGTCAATTGTAAATAGAGAAGACCTTTTATAGGCCTTCAACATAGACAACCCTCTAGAGAGATTCTATAAATAGGGGTTAGACTTAACGTCTTCTAAGATTTTTAGAGCTTTTTGTTTAAACAAGAACATTTGTTTCTGAAGCCAATACAGACATGTATAATGGCAAATCGGCTGGAATCAAAATACCTTCCTGGGAAAATAACATTTATTTATTTAATTCAACTCCAAAGTAATGGAAAACAAGAAACTAACGGAAATTGCGCCACCCAAATAGCTTCGATTATAAGCCTATAGGACTTAAAGCTGCATTACACATGATATTAAATTTATATGTAAGGTGACTCAAACATCATGTTTAACATCTGTAGTATTCTTATAACATACGCTTAGACGATCTTCACAATTTCAAAATTCAAATCTGAAAAAAAAAAAACACTTTCCAGTTGAAAATTGTTAGCAATTCCTTAAAGAATGTTTTAGACATGGTAGAATCAAGAAGGTAAAGTCATGCAATCATATGTTCACAAGTTTTTTCAAAAATTATTCATTTGACAACATCTCATTGTCAACATTTGTATTTATAAATACATTGTATATACACAAATAAGAGATGGGAACCAGTTTTTATGTAGTGAAATATGACATGGTAAATTACAGAAAATGCAGAGATGGGAATGCTATTTTGAAATGACTTTACCTTCTTAATTTTACCATGGTTTTAGAAATATAAAATATGAAAGAGATATTTTACATATAATTCTAACATAATGTGTAATTGGACATTATAATGAGCGTTACTCAAATCAGTATGCATTTAAATCCAATATATACTATGCATTTGATTAAAAGCTATAACAACAGGAAATTTTTGATAAACAATCTAATTTCATTTGGGAAAATATAAACCACGTCTCTGCAATGAGCATTGACTTGTCAAACACTATGGAAGATATTCCGTGCCCAGATTTTTTAGCACTCCCCTAGAATTTATAGGGCCTTGTTTTCAAACCTAATACACGCTCCTTTGATCTTTCATATGATATTTCTTGGTAGAATAATATAGGTAGACGCATCGACACAGCTGCTGAGACAATGAACTGTCAAACCAATTTTGGAATTGAAAATGATGAATGAAAAATTAATTAAATCTGCAAAAATTGTTGAAAAACGCGAATTATAATTACCACCCAATGACGTCGTATAAGAAAACATATAAAATCTACTTATATTTGAAAGAACATTTAAATTTTTTCGACATATCAATGTTCCTAAGCATTGATGCATCTACCTGTATTCTTCTGCCATGTGATATTTTAAGTGTAAAAGCACGTTTAGACTACTAAATCTACTCGAATTCCAACGCGTTTACGTCACGTACATGATATTCATAAAACCATAAAACCGGAGGATGTTATGATATACTCAACGATTTATTAACGTATTTGAATCATATTTCATTAAAAAAATCAATTTTAAATTTGGTTTGACAGTTCATTGTCCCAGCAGCTGTATCAATGCTTCTACCTGTATTCCTCTACCATGGGTTAATCTTTAACTAACGAGGTTGTGGTAAATTTTACCCTATCTTCACATTTTCTTTAAATGAAAAAATCTGTTTTTTACTTATTTTTATTTAAAATATGCAAGCTTATACTTATAAAACAAATCAAAAAAATATTTTTAAACATTTTTTTGTAAAATTTACCACCACGTGACATATTTTATATATGTCACCTCGCCAGTAAAAGGTTAAATTAAGTTGTAAGCTAGACTCATTTGCAAAATCGAATATGGCAACCCTTTTAAAAGGAACTTGTCGTTATATAAGTATAAATTATTTTCATATTTAAAATATTTACGTGTGACGAGCGGCATGTTTTGCAAAAATTCTAATTAATCTATTATTTTCGGGGTTCCTTCCATATTTCAAGTCTTCTACTTAAGGACACTTTCTAGGTGCTGTCAGCTTTTGTGTTATCCTCCAGTTTTTAAGGATTAAATCTTTAGAATAACCAGTTGAAAATTTTGCAAAAATCTTTACAATATCTGCTATGACATGGTAGAACTAAGAAGGTAAAGTCATGTAATCATATGTGTACAATTTTTTCAAAATAATACCTTTGACAACATCTCATTGTCAAATTTTTCATTCATAAATCCATTGTATACACACAAAATCAGAGATGGGAACTGTTTTTATGCATTGAAAATTGACAAGATAAATTACAGAAAATACAGAGTTGGGAATGCTAATTTGAAATGAGGTTATCTTTATTTCATTGTACCATGTGCTATGCATTGCTTAAATGTGAACTCACGCTGTAATGAATAAATGTCAATTCGACTGAAAAAGCGGGATGACAAGTGTTAGAGCAAAACAAGGTACGATATTATAATCTGCATACTTATCCTGAATGCAGCAAAATGATACTTTGAAGCAAAATTCGACCATTCCATAATAAGATCTCACATTAATGATGAGACTAATATTGTAATTTTCCGTTTTCGACTATATTCTTTCTTGATAGAGAGTAAATAAGGCGTGAAAATGATAAAATATTTGGTCGGAAATAAATGTGAATTTGTTTGCCACTTATACGTCCATATATAAGGAAAAACTACAAAATATAATTTCAACAATGACCGCAAATAAATTATAAAAATTACAATCGTATGATTGCATGAGATTACCTTTTTAATTCTACCATGGATGTTATACTAGATGCACTATCAGACGAAATGTTTTTACATATGTAATGTAAAATTCCCACATGTAGAATTTGCACATATCGTGTGATAGATCGACGACTTTTCCCTTGTTAAAGACATGAATAAAGTACATACACACCTAAAAAAATATTATTTTATCAAAAGTGTTTCTTCCTTAAATCATGGCAAAATTAAAAAGGTAAAGTCATTTCAAATAAGCATACCCATCTCTGCATTTTTTTTAATTTACCATGTCAAATTTCACATCATGGAAAACAGGTTCCCATCTTTGACTTGGGTACATGCAATAGATTTTATAAAATACAAATATACGAAAATACCTTCTTAGACGACTTCTACCATGCTTAAAATATAATAATTTTTACAAAATACAATATAATCACAATTTATTCCAGGGAAATAAAATAACATACATTTGCATGTATGTGATTGCAAAAATTATTAGTGATATGTAAAATGACAATTAAATTAAAATTGAATTTGCTGCAAATATTCTTCTATAAAATATTATAATTTTTATAAAATACTATATAATCACAATGTATTCAAGGATATAAAAGGAAAATATGCTAGTGTGTGTTAGCAAAGATTTGGAGTCATGGTAGAAGAATATACAGGTAGATACATCAACGCTTGAGAACATTGATATGTCAAAAAATTTTTATTTTTTTTTTTTTTCAAAAATAAATAGATTTTTAAAAGTTTTCTTATACGACGCCAATCGGAGGTTATTATAATATGAATTGGGAAATTTTACAAATTTAAATAATTTTTCATTCAACATTTTCAATTACAAAATTGGTTTGACAGTTCATTGTCCCAGCAGCTGTGTCGACGCGTCTACCTATATTCTTCTACCATGTTTGGAGTCATATGTAAATGGCAATTTTCACATACATACGGAAGTACACATGGATAAAAAAAAGTGACAGCACATATGTAAAACCCTTATCGGCCTATAGCAACTTCACAGTTGGTTCTAAAAATTATTTCATATTAATATTCATCATATTTCATTTCATATTTTCATGTGGTTGATGTTTCAAATAGTAGTACAACACTTGCTTTTATATTCTTATACCAAGCCCCATCCAGGGCTTTTTAAAGCAGTCTTTTATTGCAGCTAATATCCCCACTTTTGTTTACATTTTCTAATGTTTAAATGTAGGTTTCTTATAACGGTAAAATTATCCATCACTAGTAAAAAGACGAGTGTATGAAAACATATGTGAAATATAACATGATGAAAAAAATAATCATTCTAAAATACCCCAATGTAAACGTAACCTTGCGAAATTATTTTATAGCTTCGTTTTTTTTTCCCACATCAAACATACGCTCAATGTTCCATACTTTTCAATTACATCTCACAGCCCTCATAACAATAACATTGACTGCACATAATTAAAAAAAACCATTGTGTCTGATAGAAACTTAAAGAAACACCTGCATATTTGTTTTGAAAAAAATGTAGCATACTTTTAGGATTATAATTAATTTCAATTAACCCCACAATAAAATAATGAATTAACCCAAAGTAAAGGATTATTTCCTTATCTATGTACTCGAAGGCCATCAAATGTCTTCTATTACTAGAAACCATTCGCCTTTGATGCTGAAAAACCAACAAAAAAACTACTGTTAATAGAAACACCTCCACAGAGTGTCTTCTAAGGCACGGCCCTCTAATTGTCCGATATGACATTTTCCGATTTTGCAAAGAATTGAATAAATAATACTTTATTCATAAATAGTATTTACACAACTAAGCTTAATGCTCCATCATACATATATATAAATTACATAATGGATGTATAAGTTTTCCAGTTATAGACTAACTACTCTTATAAAATAGAAATATTTCTGAGAAACACATAGTAAATAGCACCAAGGCATCTTTCACATTTTAATCCGGTGGCAGAATACCCATCTCTTGAAGACATAATTTGGCTGCATGGTATTTAGCTTCTTTCTTGGTATTGCAAAGTTTTGTGGGTGTAAACGTTCGATCATTGACCTGGACCGAAAACAGAAACATGCGACTATGCGAGGGACCATTTTCCTGGACAACGGTGTAGAGCGGGGGTGTCCACTTATATTTTGTGGTAATTTCGTTGAGCAGGCAAACAGGATGTTTATTTTGTAGATTTTCAATGGGTTGCTGGACAGGGCCACCATTACGAACTCCTCCTGCTCCTCCGCCACCTCGTTTTGATTTGGGTGGGCGTATATCTTCCTGGGCCACAAGGCCACGTTTATCCAGTTTGACATCCAACAACAGTGGTTGTAGTGAGCCATTTTTTTCTCGACCCAAACCTTCCCCTGGTCTCCAACCCATTTTTTGCAGCAAATGCATACCCATACCGCCCGTTACTGGTTTGGTGGAGGTCAATTGATCTCGTCGGGCCCAGTGTTGTGGTCCAGAGTGTAATTGATTGGGTTTGAGAACATTGACACCTGTACTGCCGGTAAATTGTCCCGGTAGATGTTTAGATGCCGCCCACGTGGTCATTTCCTTTTGGGAATTGTACATCATTTTAATGGCCTCGGAATCCATGGGATTTTCCTGAAAAGAAAACAAACAAACCAAACAATTGGGATTCACTCAATTAAAGGGCTGGCAGTGAAGCACATACCTGTAATCTTCTCATGGCATTTAGCCTCTTGGAAATTATTGCTGAAACATCCATGGGTTGGGCTGGTGGTTCAGGAAAAACTGATATTGAATGGGCGGAAGAGGGAACAGGCACATCAGGTGTAAAATTGTTGGCTGGAGGGTGTGGCATCATGGGTGGTGGCACGGGTAATGCCGGTGGAGGAACTATGGGTGCTGCAGGCTGTTGGGCTACTAGTTGGGCATAGAAATAGGGTGGTGGAACTGGTGGTGGTGGTACAGATGAAATTTGTGATGCAGCAGGGGCAGGGATATTATTAGTAGGCAATGATATAGCTGCAGGATTTTCAGAATTTTGTGAGACACCTGCAATTGTGGTCCCTGGATTTTCTACCGGCTTAAATGCCGGCTCCTGTTCACTTTCCTTCGGCAGTGGCTTGCCCAGGGCATTTTTCACCACCGAACTCTTGAAGATAGTTGTTGACTGGGTGGCTGCCGGTAATACGGGCAGTGGTGGCAACTTCTCCTTCGGTTCTACCGGTATCCATGCCTCGGTCATGCGATGCTGTTGACCCGAGGACACTGGGAACTGCATTGTAATTGTCTTGGTTTGCTCATCAGTTTTGACTGGGGCCGGTACAATGGTCTTGGAGTTTCGTATATGCATTACAATCGGCTCGCGTTCCTTTATTTGAAAGGGATGATGGAATGCCTTGGCATTACCCGACTTATCGATGTCAGAGCCTTCATCTGAACTCAGCTCAGAAAGATGTTCTCCATTAGAAATTTTCTTACAGAACTCTGTTAAGTCTTCCACGGTACGACCGCCGTAACGCATTTTCAACAAAACCTTATCCTTGACATCCTCAGTCATGTTGGCACAGCCAGGTAAGTTGCCACGTTTAAACATGCTTATGGCATTTTTGCGGGCAATTTCCAAAAGACGTTTTTTGTCGATACCCAAGTCTCGGGAACGTGACCGAGATCTGGAACGATGGGAATAGTTTCTTCCACCACGACGATAGCCGCCTTCCCGGTCACTACGCTCTCTATCACGAAATCTTTCCTTGGTATTGGCGGAGTAGTGGCGATCGCCTTCCCTGCTCCTGCTACGTTTAGTGCCAGCATAGAAACTATTATGGCTTTTGTATTTGCTATTTCCCCTCTTCTCCTCTAGATAGTCTTCTTCGTCGGACAATGAAATCTCCGATATATCACCATCCTCTTTACGTTTACTGCTAATCTTTTCCACGTTTTCTGTTTTGATTTTAATCAAATCTGATTTGTCCTTGTCTTTATCTCTTGAGGCACCATAGAATGGATTTATCTTTATCTCCTTGTCATCAGTCCTACGACGTTTACTACCATCATCATGCTCCCTCTCATGATGGCGTTTATGGTCAGAGGATCCTGTGCGCTTTTCCAACGAGTCCCTTCTATGCTTATCCTCACTGCTGTGATGCGAGTGTTTGGAAGTGTCCTTAATCTTATCATCACCATGTTTGTCCTTCTCCTTAGTTTTCTTTTTATCAGCCGAGGATTCCTCCTTTACCCTGACTTTATCCCCATCTTTACTCTTTTTCTTGGATTTCGACTTCTCCTCATCTTTATGCTTATGTTTGTGTTTCTTTTTCTTTTTGTGTTTCCTTTTTGCTCCTGAGTCATCCTCGTCTTTTATCTCACCTTCCGACTCGGTATGATCATCACCGGATTTACTCCTTTTATGTTTCTTTTTCTTATCCTTTTTCTTTTTTATGGTTTTTTCAATTAAATTCTTGTCATCCAACAATTCTTCCGGCGGCTTGGCATTAAACACCTTGAAAAGTTCTTCCAAAATCTCATTAGAACTCTTGACTGGTTCTATGTTCTTCTTTTCATCCTCCTCCTCATCGCTGTGCTCCTCGCCCGAACTATCCTCTTCATCGTCTTCGGAACTGAGGCTATCTCCATCTTCGTTGGAGTTTTCCTTATTATCAGATGGCTCCAACACCTTGCCCTCCTTAAGTGCCAGAATCTTTTTCTCAACTTCTGTATCAATTTTTTCTTTTTTAATGATTGCCGCAACTAAGTTTGCTGAGGAAGAATCTTTGGTATCGCCTGCTGGTTTAGGTTCTTGGGCCATAATTCTATCAATTTTACATCTAAAATGTGTTGAAAATAATTGTCCTCTTTATGTGTGTAACATCCAAAGTCCCCTTTTTATGTATTTTGTTTTAATTTAATATAATTTCCTCAATTAACTTTAATTTAGATCTGGGTCTCCTCATGAAAAAAACATTTGGCTGTCAAAAGTAAAGAGCTTTGTTCAGTTGGCATATCTTCTAAAGGGTTGCCATGACATTTCAATTGCATCACATCATACCGATTAAAAGCCTTATCAGTATTTTTTATCGAAAATTAATCACAGTAAACGCAATTCTTCTTAAAATAATTTTTTTTTTTTTGGAATAGAGTTGTTATTAACGTGGAAAATGTTATATATTTTATAATATAAAAATTCAGGGAAGTATTACACAAATTTGTTACATTTTTTTGCCATAAAACCTACCTTGAAAAACTGTCTATAGAGTTTTAGGTTGACTTAGTTTGATTTTGCCCCTACGCTCCTCTGTTATTTTCCGAAGAAGCCAGCCAATGATTTAAGCCAGTCAAAAAAGCGTTTTATGTATTCTCATCTTTGGAACTTCAGCGTTTTTACTTATGTTAAAGACAGTTTAACAAATCTTCTATTTTTTTCACAAGAACACAATTTAAAAAAATTCTGCTATGTTTATGTTTTTATATTTTAAATGCAATTTAAATTCACATTAAAAATACACAATAAAATACTCTTTCATTTTTTTAAGTTTTTTCTACGAAAATAAAAAATCTTAGACTACATAAATGTTGCTGTCGAAACAATTATTGGTTTCGAAATTCAAAGAGAGTCAAATCGCTATGGCTCTGTTCTAGAACTACAAGAATGTAAAGGTTTTTACTACCACAATCGACTTTCTCTTTTGGTATGTTCCAGAACAGCAAGAGTGTAAAAGTTTTTACTACGATAACCGATGTCCCCTTTATGATATCGAAAAAAATTAAAAAAATAGTAGATTCTTGGAGGTTCTGGAACATAGCATTTATGATATAGGAAAAAAATTGCAAAACTGGTGCAATTGTTGTTAAAAGTAGTCTTCTTGGCCGACCTTGGCTGGGTCTAAATATGTATGGACAAAATTTGTGATAATTAGTCTGTTCCAGATCTACGAGAATGTAAAAAAATTAATACGATAACCAATTTTCCCTTTATGATATCGGAAAAAAATGCAAAACTAGTAGATTGTTGGAGCAAATATAAATCCTTAGAGACGTAGTTTTGGTTATTTAATTCTATATCTTGTTTTTGTACCAGGCCCCTCATATGACAGTTCGCCATCATGAAAAAATCGGGCACCTTAATATTTCGAAAAAAAAGAATGTATAAAAAGAACAATTTTCTGAATGTCTCCAGACGACGATGCCCTGTTTTAGAACCTACAAAAAACTACTATTTAGTTTTGCATTTTTGGTCGATATCATGGAGGAAAATTGGTCATCGTTGAATAAGTTTTAGATTCTTGAGAATTCAGAGGGAATTAAAAAGCCCACACTTTTGAGTTGTCTTTCATTTTAAAAAAATGTACCTTATCTTGTTGTCTTTGAAAGAATTTTTTCAAAAATCAACGCCTTGGAGTTCTCTTTAAAAAAATATTTTATAAAATGAGTGTTATCTTGTTTTCTTTGAAATAATTATTTAAAAAAATCCACTTTTTGCATTTGTTTTTAAAAAATACATTTAAAAAGTTCACATTTCCATTCCTGGCATTAACTGCGATAGAAAAAAACTTCCAATCGATATTTTCTCTCCAAAAGAAGTATCGATTCCGCCATCAATTGTTTGTCATCTTCATTGTTCAACTAATTCCATGGTTCATTTGAAGAATACTTCCAGCTGATTGCGTTTTCCTCGTCTATCTTTCGTAAACAACAGAGGTACTCGGGGATTTTGCTTTCTCTTTTATTCTTTATTTTTAATCGTTCATTCCTTTTTGCCTTTCTTATTTGTTTCGTTGGGAACGTCTTTCGTTTTGGTTCCCACGCACCATAATATCGCCAGCCATTTTACATCTGCCTGGTCGGTCTTCTTGGATAGAGATACATTTTCGCAAGTTAGAGATACATTTAAATCATTTAAAAGTGGCACTTTCTTGTTTACAAGAAAACAAGTGATAAATATCCATTATCATTAAGAAATTTTATACAAAATCATAAACGAATCAAATAATTAACAAAAAAACGAGCGAGATAATACATCAAACGAAACCCCAATACACTAAACGATCCAAGAGAAAAAAACACAATCTTCCATTACGGGGTGTGGTTAAAGACAAGTGTACAAAAACAAAAATTACATTCTATGCGAAAAAATTTTTATACGTTTTTTTTTGGAAAAAAATAAGTAATTTTTTTGTAATCAAGTCAAAAAGAAATTATAAAACCATACAGCAGCAAAAAAATACCAAAAGAATGGAAAGGTGTTGTTTTATCAAAACGACGTGTATGGAATTAATTAGTTATTGAAGAAGGCAAGCAGGTAGCGTAGTCAGGCAAGAGACGGCGACGACGACGACGGTTAAGGAAGACGACACATAGAACGAGCCAACGTTTCTTCTTTTTTATGCAAATGAACTCATTCTAAACAAAACACGAAGAAAAAAGAAGAAAATAAAAAGAAGAGTGTTGCTGTTGTCGGCGGCTGTAGTGGAGTAGGAGGAGGTGGCAGATGATTGTTGGTATCATCATTGTGGGTCATTGTATTAGTTAGTTTTTTTGTTGTTGAGTTTAAAGATTCCCATTCCATTTGATGCAATGAAGAAGAAGAGTTCTTTGATAATCCACGAATTTGTGTTGGCATTTGAAGTGATCGTTTAAAAGATTTGTTGCTTTTGCCGGAATCTCATTAGGAAACAAAGCAAAAGCAAATAAACAAAATAACAACAACAGCAACACAAAAAGCCGCATAAAACAACGAAAATACTAAATGCAAAAACAAAAGTAACACAACATATTTTGATTAGTGCAGCAGCTGTCACAGACATGTCACGACTTGCTGATTATTTTGTTATTGTCGGCTATGATAGTGAAAAAGATCGTAAGTATTCTGTTGCATTTGGAATATTAAAAAATTGAAAATCAATTCCCTTCTATTGCTTAGGAACTGCTACCGAAAATAGTCTACTAACATGTGGCAAGATTATACAACGCTTTCCCGAAAAAGATTGGCCGGATACACCCTTCATAGAAGGCATAGAATGGGTAAGACACAATATTTTCTTATCTTGCCCTTGTTTTGATTTTATTTTTATTAATTCTCTTCCCTGTTTTCCTCTTTTGTAGTTTTGTCAACCATTAGGCTGGAATTTATCTTATGAGAAACAGGAGCCGAAATTTTTCACTTCCGTTCTGACCGATATTGACGCAAACAAACACTATTGTGCCTGTTTAAGTTTCCACGAGACCCTAGCCATAACGCTTAACAAAAAAGTCGTCGACGATGAGGACGAAACGATTGCCAATCCACCAACAAAATATCAAAATTCCTCACCGTTAAACAATTCGAATTTATCAACAAATAATGGTTTGAATTGTGGCATTATTTCAACATCGACAACATCCACATCACTGATATCACATCATAGTGTTATGTATGCGCCGAAATGTTTGGTTTTAATATCACGTCTCGATTGTGCCGAAACATTTAAAAATTGTCTGGGCACCATCTACACGGTGTATGTGGAAAATTTACCATATGCCTTGGAAACGCTGATTGGTAATATATTAGGATGTATACAAGTACCGCCGGCGGGAGGACCTCAAGTTCGTTTTTCGATTGGGGCAAGTGATAAGCAATCGTTGCAGCCACCCCAGTCATCATCGTTGCCCATAACCGGAACATCGGTGAATTTTTTGTTTAAACAATTGGGTGAGTTTGTGGGGCTTTGTTCTACTCTTAAAATATACTTATATTAATACCTGGTTTTTTTCTCCTTCTCCTCCCTTGCAGGCATTAAAAATGTCCTCATACTACTTTGTGCAGTTATGACTGAAAATAAAATACTCTTTCATTCGAAATCCTACTCCCACCTAACGGATAGTTGTAAAGCTCTGGTTGCTCTCATGTATCCATTTCGTTATACCCATGTATATATACCGATATTACCGGCACCGCTCTCCGAGGTCCTGTCAACACCGACACCATTCATTATGGGCATACATAGTTCGTTGCAATCGGAAATCAATGAATTACTCGATGTTATTGTTGTCGATTTGGATGGTGGGCTAGTGACAATACCACCAACATTGACACCACCCGTACCCGTGCTGCCCTCACCGTTGTGGGAACAAACTCAAGAATTACTAACAATGATATTATTTCCAAATCTTTCACAAGCTGATTTGGCATTTCCATCGCAAGAGAAACCAACAAATTATCCCAAGACCGAGGCAATAATTGACAAGGAGTTAAGGGCAATATTTATGCGTCTTTTCGCTCAGCTACTGCAGGGATACCGTTCATGTCTCACCCTCATACGTATACATCCCAAGCCGGTGATAACATTTCATAAGGCTGGCTTTTTGGGGGCCAGAGATCTGATTGAAAGTGAGTTTTTGTTTCGTGTCTTGGATAGCATGTTCTTTACCACCTTTGTCAATGAACGTGGCCCTCCCTGGAGGCCCTCTGATGCATGGGATGAATTGTATAGCACCATGAATGAGTTGCTTAAATCGGAGGCAAACAATAAAAGTCTGCTGCACATACACATTGCCGAGTTGGGTAAAGTTTTGTATGAAAACGAAAATCCAAGTCAGCAAATGTATGTACAGAAAGTGCTGCGGCCTCCCGAGGGTGCCTCACATCGCATCCATCAGCCAGCCTTCCCTCGCCTAAATCCCGAAAAAGTTGAGATGATAATTAACGATGGCATAAGGAAAAATTGCCTACAACCTCGCCTGACATCACAGCGCAATCAAAATCGCATAATACCCATGGGACCTCGCCTACCCGAAGTTTTAGACATAAGACCAAATCTATTGAACTCAGCCCGACGTTTGGAGGTTTTAAAAACCTGTGTAGCATATATTTTTGAAAACAAAATTGCCGATGCCCGTAAATTGGTGCCGGCCGTTACGCGTACCCTTAAACATCGTGATGCCCGTTTGATATTTTGCCGTGAGCTATTTGGTTATGTGCGCGGCAATAAGGCCGTACTGGATCATCAACAATTCGATTTGGTTATAAATTTCATGAATAAAACATTACAAAACTCCACGGGTATTGATGAGTACACTGTGGCCGCTGCCCTGCTGCCCATGTCCACGATATTTTGTCGAAAACTCTCTACGGGCATCATACAATTTGCCTACACCAGTATTCAGGATCATAGCATTTGGAAAAATTTACAATTTTGGGAGTCGACATTCTATCAGGATGTTCAGACTCACATCAAGGCCTTGTACATGCAACATCGTAGGGCAAATGAAAACAACAAAGAATCGAATTGTGTGCTCGATGATGTGCCACTGGAGGAGCCAACTGCTTTGGAAATTACCGCAGAACAAATGCGTAAAGCACCCACCATTGAAGAGGAGAAGAAAAAGGAATTGGCTCAATCGGAAGAGTCGACGCTGTACAGTCAGGCGATACATTATTCGAATAGAATGGTGTCCCTACTCATACCGCCCAATGTCAATGCTGTGGGACCGAAGCCAAAGCAAACGTTTCGTTTTGACGATAATCAAAGTGTGTCCAACAGGTGGGTTGAAATCGGGTTCATAGTTTGGGAGTGAGACAGACAATTGTATGAAGAAAACTGGTGGGTTATGGCAACAAAAGGAAACAATTGAGAAGATATCAAAATTGTACCTTCGCTGCTTTCCCAAAAAATCCAGTATTTCCTTCATGCAACTTTCTGTGAATCCGGAATTTTGTCTATTTTTGCTTTAAATCTTCTTTTTTAATTCTCCCCTTTTCCTGTTCCAGTATTATGGGCTCCGCCAGTGAACACTCCGATGAGGGTTTCGAAGAAAACGACGCCTCTGAGGTGGGTGTGGCTGTGGGAAAAATCGTTTCACGTTTTATTGATCGAGTCTGCACGGAGGGTGGTGTCACATCGGATCACATACGCAACCTTCACGATATGGTACCTGGTGTGGTGCATATGCATATTGAATCTCTGGAATCGGTGTACTTGGAATCGAAACGTCATCCTCATGTACAGAAACCAAAAATCCAAACACCCTGCCTATTGCCTGGGGAGGAAATTGTTACCGATCATTTGAGATGTTTCCTAATGGTCGATGGACGAGAAGATGATACCCAGTGTTTGATACCCGCCGAGGGAGCATTATTCCTTACCAATTATCGCATCATTTTCAAGGGTAATCCCTGTGATCCCTTGGCCTGTGAACAGACAATAATTCGAGCATTTCCCATTTCTTCGTTGCTGAAGGAAAAGAAAATATCCGTCTTGTATTTGGCCCATTTGGATCAAACATTGCCGGAAGGATTGCAATTGAGATCAAGTACTTTCCAGTTAATGAAAGTGGCCTTTGATACCGAAGTAACCCCGGAAATGATTGAAACTTTTAGGAAGATATTGAACAAGGCCCGTCATCCCATTGATGAATTTGAACATTTTGCCTTCCAATCATATGGCACTATTATACATGGCACTGTTCCGCTAAAGGCCAAGGAGAAATATTCCACATTAAAGGGTTTCGCCAAGAAGACCTTGATGCGCACGGCCAAAAAGGCGGGATTGAAACAAAAATTCACCACCACCAAACGCAAGTTGGTAACATCGGCCGTGGATTTTGATACAATGGTAGCCTCGGTGGATGCCTTGGAAACACATTCCCAAAACGATGAACTGGAGGATGATGAATTTGAGGTGAATAATGAGACCTTGCCACGCATTGCCACCGCCAAGGATATTGAACGTATGCGTGAACGTAACTATGTGCGGGACTGGAAACGTTTGGGTTTCGAAGATGCCCACAATGGTTTCCGTACAACGGCGGTGAATTCCAATTACAGTATGTGTCGCTCATATCCGGCCATATTTGTGGCTCCTCTACAGGTACATGATGCCGCCTTAACCCATCTGGGTCGTTGTTATAAAAATCAACGCATACCGGTAGCTACTTGGCGTCATCGCAACGGTGCCCTTCTAGTACGGGGAGCTTTGCCCCATAGTAAATCTGTGATAGGCATGCTTAAGAACAGTACCACAGGCTCGAATAACACCTCCAATGATGTGGCCCACTATCATGAACAGGATAAATATTTTATGGCTTTGATTAATACCATGCCCAAGCCGAATATTTCGCTGGCCCATTACAATTTGACGGGCATGAATTTGTCAATGAATTCATTGCTTTTGAACACCTCGGCAGTGGATGATTTGCATTATTTGAATACCTCTCTAACGCCGGAGGTGAGTAGGAAAAATAAATCGGCCATGTCGGGACATGATGTTGGCGGCGGCGGTGGTGGCAAACAAAAAAGTGGTACCATTAAAAATTCCTCAGCAGTATCGAATAGTGCCTCAGCCTATAGGAAGATACGTCTCTATGTTTTGGGCGAGAAATCCCAAACAAAATCCAGTGTTAATGCCGATTTGGGAGCCGAGTTTATACCAGTGGATTATCCCGATATTCGGCACTCGCGCATTGCTTTTAAAAAGCTCATGCGCGCATGTCTTCCCTCGAACATTACCAATGAAACGGATCAAACATTTGCCAAGAACATTGAACAGTCAGATTGGTTGCAACAAATCTCCTCGCTGCTACAACTTTCAGGAGCTGTGGTGGATCTAATCGATTTGCAAGAGGCTAGTGTTATGCTGTCGCTGGAAGATGGCTGGGATATCACGGCCCAAATATCTGCCTTGGCCCAATTGTGTTTGGATCCCTATTATCGTACCATAGATGGTTTCCGAGTGTTGGTGGAAAAAGAATGGATTGCATTTGGTCATCGCTTTGCCCATCGCAGCCATTTGAAACCCTCCCACAATAGTTCAAATATTGCATTTGCTCCAACATTCTTACAATTCCTCGACGGAGTCTATCAGATACACAAACAATTCCCCATGGCATTTGAGTTCAATGAGTTCTATATACGCTTTCTGGCCTATCACACGGTGTCGTGTCGTTTTCGCACATTCCTGTTCGATTGTGAGGTGGAACGTTTTGATATGGGCATAACAGCGGTGGAGGATAAACGTGGATCCCTGTCGACCAGTAAACATTTGCTAAGTAATAAATGTAAGATTTTCCCCCTTGAAGATGTTGTTTATTAAATCGGGATTTATCTTCTTTTTCCTATAGGTAACAATGGTTCGGATGATGAGTCTGGGGTCTATCCTGTGGATATACGTAGCAAAACTTTGGTAAACTGCAATCGCATTGGCCATTCCATATTCGATTATATTGAAAGGCAACACTCCAAATCGCAAATTTTCTACAATTTCATCTACTACCTGCACGATGATGTTTTGCGGCCACAAAGCTGTGCTGCAGCCTTGGATCTGTGGCCTTACTATACCCACGAAGAGTTGGCTCAGGGACCACCATATGATCTGGAAGTAACAAGTGCCGATGATGAATTAGATTTATCCGAACTGAAAGGTAAACGTATTGTCATTTCTGCCGGCTATGACAATATAGAGAAAACAGATCCCAACACCTTTGTTTGCCTGCTGAGCGAGGTAAAACAAGCTGAAACGGAACGTGGCCATTTGCCACAAAAATGGCAACAAGTTTGGACTAGTCTTGATGTACCACAAATCGAGCGAATCGAACGTAAATCTTCCCTGAATAGCCTTTTCTATCAGGGCAAGTTGCAACACAAACGTTCCACCTTGGAGATAATTATGAAGGGACGCCTGTCCGGCAACCAGGAGAAATTCTTCCATCCGCATCGTTTTGAAAAACATCCCTATACCACACCCACCAATTGTAATCATTGCACAAAACTCTTATGGGGCCCTGTGGGCTATCGCTGCATGGATTGCGGCAATTCCTATCACGAACGTTGTACTGAGCTATCGCTGAAAAATTGCACAAAATATAAGGCCGTCGAGGGTGTGGTGCCGCCCAATGTCAATATATCACAGGGCGATACGGCGAGCATAGCCTCGAGTGCGGCAACCACGGCACGAACATCATCACATCATTTTTATAATCAATTCAGCAGTAATGTGGCCGAGAATCGTACACATGAGGGGTAAGTGGGGAAATGTTTTTTTTTTTTTTTTTTTTTTTTTTTTTGTTAACAATGTATCTTAAATAATATTAAATATTTTATTTTGCAGACATCTTTATAAACGCGGTGCCTTGTTAAAGAATTGGAAACAACGTTGGTTTGTTTTGGATTCCATCAAACATCAATTGCGTTATTATGATTCGGTTGAGGACTCAACATGTAAAGGAGTTATAGGTGAGTTGAAGAAAACAAAAAAGCTCTTCATTTTTGGTCTACCGTGAAAAGACTTTCTGGTCTGCTATGAGTAGAATTGGTAGGCCTTTCAGAAGATAGGATATCCATTTTTAACTTCCATACAAACAAACATTCTTTTGGTCTTCTTTCTCACCTAAGAGAAGAAATGTTGAAAACTTTTTTGAAAAAAATTTTTCACCGTTTAGAGAAAGTTATTATGACGTTTTATGAAATGTCTTTTGGTGGTCCTTGTGTGGAGATCTTGGTTCCTCTTTGAGAAGACCTTTGATTCTTCAATTTAATCGAAATTATGACATTTTCGGGAAAATCATTTTAAACTTTTGTAAAAGGAATTTATACATCCAAAAGACTACAGGCCTCTCAGTATTTCGTCTTTTCTGATGAAATCTCTGGAGAGACTAATAGATATTGAGATCAGATCTCTGCTACCTTTGACATGCAGGGTGAGATAAAAAGACTGCCATAATTTTTACATTTTTTTTAATTTTATTGACTGAAAGCAAAAATATCGGAAATAGCGTCAAATTTTTGAATAAGATTAGTTTTGTTCGAACTGGTCACCTTTTGCACGAATTATGGCCAATGAAACCGTCACACGCTGCCCGAATGTAGCTATGCATTCCCGGCGAAGCGCTTGCTCGAGGTGATCGACACCTTGGTATTTTTTAGTGCCAACCTTGCTCTCCAAAATACTCCAGACACAATTGACCAACGGATTGGTATCCGGAGATTTTGGTGGACATTGTGCGCTGGAAATAAAGCGAGGAACCTCATTTTGTAACCATTCTTAGGTGGTGTGTGCTGAGTGCGATGTTGCTGATTCCTGTTGGAATGTCCAAGGTCTGCGGCCAAAATGTTTGCCTGCCCAAAGCTTTAATACACCCTCCAGAACATTATTTAGCATTCGGCATTTATTCTGATGCCAGAGCGACCATCGGCTGCTATGGCGGCCCACGCCATTACCATGGCCGGCGCTTGAGTTCTGGTGGCCAACCGAAGGTGCACATTTTCAGCTGAACTCTTTGGCAAGTAAACACGATCATTATGTTTGTTTCCAAACTGCTGGACAATGAATGTTTTCTTATCGGAGAGGAGAAAATAAATCTTTTAAGTCTATTTTCTTTCTGTTGCGGTGTATGTTCTTACACATTTTGGAATTTCGATGGCTTTACCCTGAGCTAAATTTCGATCAACTCGCTTCTTTACTTTTCGAACCATTTCTGCTGATGTTGCTGTTTTCTTCCATCCACTTCCTTGGCGTCGGACTACGCTACCAGTATCACGGTAACGTGCGATGGTATGAGACACAAAAGATTTATTCACATTTAAATGCTGGAGTGCTCTAACGATAGCCACTTGTGGTTTTCCAGCCAAATATAAAGAAATCACGCTGTCACTGAAATAATTTTAACGGACGAGTGGCTTAGAAATGACAGCAGTCTGAAGTTGGTTGCTGTTTTTTCATCTCAGCCTGTATTTGTACCCCCACAAGATCTGGTGCAGAAATGGAAGGTAGCTCCCCCACAAAGGTGCCAAAATATTGATTAACCAAAATATTATACAAAGCGAAAATATATCCGATTCTCTTAAAGTCACACTTATCAAAATATTTCTAAAAACACAAGATCTGATGTGAAGATGGTAGATATAGGTTCAATCCTTCTGGCACCCAATGTCGGAAAAACCAACTGATACTTTTTAGCTTATTTATCTGCTTTCCAGGCTTTAAGAGAATTTTGAAGGGAAGGAATTTCGATCATACTGGCCTTTTAGTATTTTGTAAAATTGATCTTTGTTTGAGAGAAAGGTTTTAAAAATGTGCGTATATTTTATTTTCAGATTTGGCAGAAGTTCAAAGTGTTACGGCCGCACAACCTACACAGATCGGCACAAAACGTGTAGATGAAAAAGGATTTTTCGATGTAAGTATTTCGTCAGCAATAATCCGAAAAGTATTTTTATAAATATGATCCAAGTTCGATGCTATAATTATATGAAGTTGGTGGTTATAAAAATAGGAAATCTAGTAAATTTTGGAAAAAGGTTTGTGCGAAATCCCATGAATGCACTTCCGCAGAAAAAACAAAAAAGCTGTAAGTTCGGCCGGGCCGAACTTTGAATACCCTCCACAATTTGGAACGAATTTGGCAATTCTCAAAAACAATAAAATCCGTTTAAAATCTTGTTAATTCTTAAAAATGCCGAATGTAGCTATTATATTAGGGTCTATACGGCGACATGGACCTGCATAGGTAACTTTTGTCATAAGCCATTACAATATTCAAATGCGAAAATTGAAAAAATGGGTGAATAATCTAGCTAAAATCATCAAAATACCGAATATTGGGAGGTACCGTTTTATAGGGGCTATACGAAGACGTGGACCTGCACAGATAATTTTCTTTCTTAGGTTGCAGTATTCATTACGAACTTCAAATACCAAATTTTAAACAATTCTGGCGAATAGTGTCGCTAAAATCATAAAATTACGGAATATCGGGAGATACCGTTATATTAGGGCTATACGAAGACGTGGACCTGCCCTGTCTTAGGTTGTAGTATCCATTACGAACTTCAAATACCAAATTTGAAACAATTCCGGTGAGTAATGCCGAATATCGGGAGGTTCCGTTATATGGGGGCTATACGAAGGCGCGGACCTGCATAGACAATCTCCTGTCATAAGCTGTAGCATTCATTACGAACAAAAAGATACTAAATTTTAAACAATTTTAAACAATTCCGATGAATAATACCGAATATCGGGAGGTACCGTTTTATGGGGGCTATACGAAGACGTGGACCTGCACAGATAATTTCCTGTCTTAGATTGTAGTATCCATTGCGAACTTTAAATACCAAATTTGAAACAATTTCGGTGAATAATGTAGCTAAAATTATCAAAATATCGAATATCGGGAGGTACCGTTATATGGCTGGGGGCTATACTAAAACGTGGACATACATGACCTATATTCAATACCACAAGTCCTGCAGACATTATATTAGTTTGAGTAAAATTTTATCGATCTACTTCATTTCGTTCGAAAGCTAGAGTGACGGACACACGGCCAGATGGACGGACATCGCTAAATCGACATAGAATTTTATACTATTCAAGAATATATATACTTTGTGGGGTCTAAAATGTATATTTCGAAGTGTTACAAACGGAATGACAAACTTAATAGGCCCAAATACGGTTGTAGCTTCTATAGTCGTCGACGACGTTATGTTCAAGTCGCCATCGCCGTCGCTTCGATCCAAAAATGGTATTACAGTAAGACATAGAAGTGATATCGACAGTTCAGAAAAAAAGTTGGCGCACTGATCGATTTCTCAGTTCCGGATTTTTATAAAACTCCCCAAAAAGTAAAAAAGGGCCCATTATGGGGTTAACAAAATTGATGCCAAATTACAGCTGCACTCTTATCTTTCCAAAAAAAGTGGATCTCGGTCTTAAATCCCGACTTTCGAGTCAAAAATCTGGGGAATCATGGTAATAGTCTCCCGGAATCAGGGTAAAAATACCTACCTCTGAAAAAAAATTCGAAAAATCGAAGAGTTTTTACTAAACTAGGATTGTTTCAATTGGCCACAGCATTTAGGTTTTTAGCACTAGGATCTTAGTAGACCAGTGTCGGAAATGACTTCAATATTTCCAAATTGTTTAGCTGTTGTTATTTTCATGGTCAAATATCAAATACAAAATTGTTAAAATATAAACTTCGACTAAAAAATACAATGTCGTCACAATTTTTTACGGCGACAGATATTCTCTAAAAACGACTTCATATCGACTGTTGTATCGACAATGATAATACCAATCATTCATCGCTATTGACAAAAAACGACAGCCCTAATATCGTTATTATCGCCTCGACCGGGCGGAATATACCCTCCATACTATGGTGTAGGGTATAATAAAGTGTTTTTAGAAATTGAATATTCTTTTTCGGTTTACTTAACGTCCATTATGTGAATATCTTTCAATCCCAAATCTAATAGAATTTTCTAATTAATTTTTGTTTTTAATTGGACTCCCTCTACAGTTGAAAACCTCTCGGCGAACCTACAATCTGTATGCCATGAATGCAAATCTGGCCCAGGAGTGGATAGAAAAAATTCAGGCTTGCTTGCAGTAGAGGCAGATATATATGGGGAAAAGTATATCATCATCTACACACTCACACACACATCCACTACCATCTCTCTATAAATCTATATTTAATAACAAATGGAAAACTGAATGTCGTAGAAAAAAATATTTAGTCAAGTATTTATACAAAAAAAAAAAATTGAAAAAAAAAGAATTTTGTTACTTTTTGTTTACAAATTTAAAAAAACAAATTGTTTGCCTTTTCTACAAAAACAAAAAAAAAAACCAACAAAACAAAAACTATTGTGTATAATTTACAACAAAAACGCAAAGCATTTTTCAAAATTGCAATAACGCAATAAATGTATGTATTTATAATTTAATTATTTTAAAATTAGTAATAAATAGAGTGAGTTGTTCAATGTTAAACTTTTTTTTGAAAATCCAATTTTTTTCTCGAAAATTCTATTGAATGATTTGCCTCTACTTAGGTTTTGTTTTCAATGCGATTCTAGTTTTAGAATTTATGTATATTATTAATAAAAAAAATAACAATTAAGTTTATAGAAGAGCACATGTTGGACTACTAGGATTTTTTATTTGTTTCTGCAACAATTAAGCTATAGTTTTTGTTATAACCTGAAAAAGCTTACCTTGAAAAGAATAAAATAATAAAAAATACAACTACCTTTAAACCATTAACTTATTGAATGTGATTAACCTCCCGCCCTTGCATACTCTTCCCTCTATTGACCTTTGCCCGCCCCCTCCGGAAAAAAACCATATAAATATGTGTATGTATTTGTTTAAATATGATACAGAAGAAAACCTTTATATATATTGTTCTTTATTATAGTAAATATATTTGTTTATTCCCTAATTATTATTAGTTTTCATCTCTTTTTTTATAAAAAATAACTTTATACTCGATGTTATGCCAAAGAATCGGTTAAAGAAATATACATTAATATATACCATAATCAGTTAGTTTTCTTTTTTTCTAATTTTTATGTTGATTTTTTTTTTACTATTACATCTCTTGATATAGTAAATACATAAAATAAAAAAATAATAATAAAAAAACACAAAAATAATTGTTTAATGCAAATCAGTGTTTTGTTGTTTTTTCTTTCATGTCGTCATATGCTCATGAATCTCTTTATTATTTACATTTTTAAAACAAATGTTTTTTTTTTCATTTTTGTATGGCAAGGTAAGGATGAAGTTTTGTGTTATTAAAACTCGGAGTTCAGACACAGAAGCATTTATGAAACATTTCTTTTCACATTTTTTAATAACTTTCTGTTTCTGAATCCCGAGTAATTTATTTTAGAACTTAAAATGCGATTAATTTAATAACAAATCATTACAGAAACGTTGTCCAATAAACAATATTCAATATAAGAAATGAAAATGGAAAAAAGAAACGTGAAAATTTATCTATAAACAGTGCTGTGGCATGTCCTTGACAGAAGGTGTCATATTGTGGTTCTATAATTGAGGCACGATGTGGATTCTATAATTAAAAAAAAATTAAGAAAACATCAATTTAAAAAATTATTTTTAAAAAAAATATGTTATTAATGGAGAGTATGGAGAGTGAAGTAACGAACAAAGGATACTTGGCAGCACTGAAAAGAAAGACAGCACAGAGAGAAAATCGATAATAAAGATGGGAATCAAAACAGAAAGGCGGACAACACAAAAGGAATCAAAACAAAACGGCCGACAACATAAGTGGTTTGAACACATTCACCAAAGGAGCGCGGAACTAATAACGAAGAAGCACATAAAATATTTCATTTCCAGCCATGTGAGTCACCCTGTGTTGAACAAAACATAAAGTGGCCTGGCCACACATAAACTTTTCATAATTTCTCATTGGTAGTGGGATTCTCTAACTTTTTTGCCGCTGATAACATAATTTGGTAACTTGCAAACGCAGAATTTTCATTTAGAAAGTAAAATAAAAATTAAGAAAATAATTTTAAGATGTCGGAAACCCTCCTACTATTCTCTTAAATTGTGGAGCATTGTTTACTTATTTTGGGATAAAATCATTTTTTCTAGGAAATAGTTGTAAAACTGTAAGCGTGGAATGTTCTTACACGTAATAGTATAAGAGGTCTGTCCGATTGCTTGCTATTGTCCAGCTAGTTTATGAATTATGGTCTTCAAACGGCCAATGAAACCGTCACACGCTGCCCGAATATTGTTCTGCGGTTTTTTGGCCCATTCCCGCCGAAGAGCTAGTTTGAGGTGATCGACACTTTGGTATTTTTAGTGCCAACCTCGCTTTCAAAAATACTCCAGACATAATGGTCCAACGGATTGGTATCCGGAGATTTGGGTGGCCATTGTGCGCTGGAAATGAGGCGAGGAACCTGATTTTGAAATCATTCTTGGGTGACACGTGCTGAGTGCGATGGGTGACGCGTGCTGATTCCTGTTGGAATGTCCAATGTCTGCGGCCAAAATGTTTGCGTGTCCAGGGCTTTCTGATGCCACCGTCGATTAATACGAGCGGAGAACGACCATCGGCTGTTATGACGGCCCACACCATCACCATGGTCGGCGCTTGAGTTCTGCTGGCCAACCGAAGGTCACATTTTCAACTGACCTCTTTGGCAAGTAAACACGATCATTTCGTTTGTTTACAAACTGCTGGACAACGAATGTTTTCTCATCGGAGAAACCCAAATTCGGCAGTTCACCACTTTCGGCCAAGCGAAGCAACTCCTTAGCTCTTTTGAGTCTATTTTCTTTCTGTTGCGTTGTAAGTTCTAGCACTTTTTTGAAATTCAATGGCTTTACCCCGAGCTCATTTTTCAATATTTGCCGAATGGAATATTGCGATATGTTCAGCTCACGAGCCATTTTTTCGACTACGGCAACGCGGTTTCTATCAAGTCGCTTCTTTACCTTTCTAACCATTTCTGCTGATGTTGCTGTTTTCTTCCGTCCACTTCCTTGACGTCGGGTTACGCTAACAGCTACCAGTATCACGGTAACGGGCGATGGTACGCGAAACAAAAGATTTATTCACATTTAAATGCTGGAGTGCTCTAGCGATAGCCGCTTGTGGTTTTCCAGCCAAATATACAGAAATCACACTATCTCGCTTGAATTCCATCACGAATAACTTTTTTTGTGGAAAATTCTCGCCAAAATGCTTTTTGTACTCTTGTAAACAATAGAATGAGCTGTCACTGGAATAATTTTAGCAGCTGTCAAACGAGTGGCTTAGAAGTGACAGCAGTCTGAAGTTGGTTGCAGTTTTTTCATCTCACCCTATATATACTTTGTAGGTTATATCATAAATATTTCGAGGAGTTACAAACGGAATGACTAAGCTAATATACACCTCCCCCCCCCCCTAGAATGGTAGAGGATATAAAAAAAGAACCCAAAACAATTAGGCTTTGGGATTCCAAATTAAAAATTGTAAAATTCTTGAACAGGCAAAAATGTACTTTTTTATGGATTATATGGAACGTACTTTTTTCTTTGAAAAACTTGCCTATACCTCACCCTTTATCATATACGCAGTTTCCAATCACATAAATCACCCTGTGTTAAATACTACTTAAAGTGGCTTGGCCACACATCAAATTTTAAGTATTCCTTTTCTGAAGTGCAATTGTTTTATAGGAAACGCAAATTTTAGATTCAAATCTCAACATATTCCAGCGCTTTAAAATATGTGTGATTGCTATTTAGCGCCTACTGGATTTTAATGGCAGAAAAATGTTATTGAACAAATTTTGTTTGACGTATACCCATTCTCACTTGAACTCCATGTAAAACGTACCTTAATATCATCAAAATCGGTTATATTCTCATCCGAATATCCTTTCATTGCCTTCGTGGCCACCGGGCCCATATAATTATTGACTATGGCAAATTCCATTAGTGATAGAAATACAAATACCGAACACGATGACATCCAGACGTCAATGGCTTTGACGTATGAAACTGGTGGCAGTAATTGTTGTGACTGTGTATTTTGTGTGGCCAGCGTTAGTAGTGATGTCACACCGAGTGTTACCCGAGCCGGTATGGCCTCGGGTTTAATCCAAAATGATATCCAGGACATGACCACAATCAATGCTGATGGTATATAGGTGTGGAGTAAATGATAGCCCAGGCGACGGCGTAAATTAAATACAATTGCTAGGCAGGTGAAGTTACCTAAGGATGGACGTGGATTAATGATTACTCTTCGTGGAACACCAACTGAACTCACCTGTTGAGTATTCTATGGTACAATCGGTTGTAAAATTATTCGATATATCTAATTGTGGTAATTCAATTTCATTACTGACAACCAATGGATCTGTCATATTCCAAATGAATACCAAATCGTTGACCGTGTGGGACACTGAAAGAAATCAAGGGAATTTAAAATTTATCTTCGAAATGGAGTCAAATTTGTTCTTACAGCTTTCGATCATCATGGAACAAACTTGAGTATCATGTGGATATGATTCAAATTTCATGGCACACGAAAGCACCAAAGTCAATCTGGGATTTGAAAAAAATAAGGTATTTAATATAAATAAAGCAGTTTTAAGGTCTAAACAGAATGAACACTTCGTCTAAGGTTTTGATTAGCTTAAGGAACAAAATGCTGATCGTCTATAAATAGTCGCCGACTTTCTGCAAGCCAGTAATGGCGAATAAAAGTCTTTCTAGTCGCCTATAAAGATAATATTTAAGTAGTCTATAAAGTCGACTTTACAGTTGCTTTCCAGTTAAAAGACGACTTTCTAGTTGCCTATGAAGATGACTTTCTAGTCACATCTAAAGATGACTTTTATGTCACCTAAAAAGACGACTTTTAAGTCGCCTACAAAGACGAATTTCTTTTCTCTTTTAAAAACCAATTTCTAGACGACTTTCTAGTCTTGTATAAAGATGACTGTTTGGTCGCCTATGCAGGCGACTTTAAAGTCACCTATAAAGATGACTTCTGGCCACCTATAAGAACGACTTTTTGGTCTCCTCTAAAGGCCTATAAAGACGATTTTCAAGTCGACTTTCATGTCGCTTTTAAAGACGATTTCACACGACTTTCTGGTCACTTATAAAGATAAGTTTCTAGTCGCAAGAGCAGAATGAAAGCGCTACGCGTTATCAACCACAAAAAGAGAATTTAAGAGTCCAAGTAGTTGGGAGTTCTGTCTGTATCAAAAACGCGTGACGCGGAGCGCCTTCATTCTGCTTTGTCTTTAAAATACGGCTTTCTAGCCGCTTCGCAGTTGTGAATTAGAACGACTTTCTGGTCGCCCTTTATTTATGGCGAATCTTTGCTGCATTTAAAGTATGGCTCGGATATTCCCGAGCCAAGCAACAACATCCATCTAAATCTCTAACTTATTCATTCTGTTCTGAAATATTCATTCTGCTCTTGCCCACAGTTTCTGGACAACCACTCTTACTTGGACATATACAGCAGCGTTTTATCATGATATAGCCACAAATAATGATTCGGAATACTCATTTCGTGGAATGTAACTTTTTTGGCATTCTTGAAGAAACAATCTGGCCGCCATATGCTGTGCAACCAATCAACATCCAATATACGATATTCTTCACTCATATTCTCAGGTAAACGTAAACGTGGATCACGCCAACTTTGTGCTAGAAATATATCTGTTACATAGGTCTGGAAGACGAAAAAATAGCAGTCATTAAAAATAATATAAAAATTCCCATAGTGATACTTACCATAGATTCCTCATCGATTGAATCTAAGGATAGTACCGTCACATGAAAATACACCACCGTTGGTTGGCCCAGTAGTTTTGGCGCCCGATTTTTATCATAAGATTTTGATGGTATTGGCAAAATGTCGGGTAGTGATAGACTTAACTCATAATGTTGTACGGTTTCTGAACTATCGGTGCCATTTCTGAAATTGTAAAGGAAATTTAAAAGCCTTGAGAAGTTTGATAGTCGGGTGAGGTGAGAAAGTGGCAGATGACTCCAATATTTTGCTTCCTATTAAAGGATGGCCTTGCTGATTCTGTGACTTTTTGCGCACATCTCGTCAGGCCCAAATGGAAATATTTAAGGCCAACCCAGAATGAAAGCGCCGAGCCCTATTTCACTACTTCCATATGGCATATACAGGGTGAAATGAAAAAAACTGCAACCAACTTCAGACTGCTGTCATTTCTAAGCCACCGACAGCTGTTATAATTATTCCAATGATATTCATAGTTTACAAGCGTACAAAGCATTGTAGACAAACAAAACGATCGTGTTTACTTGCCAAAGAGGTCAGCTCGTATTAATCGACCGTGGCATCAGAATAAATGCCGAATATTATCGCGAAAATATTCTGGAAGGCTTATTAAACATTTTGGCCGCAGACCTTGGACATTCCAACAGGACTCAGCACCATCGCACTCAGCACGCGCCACCCAAGAATGGTTACAAAATTGGGTTCCACCAAAATCTCCTGATACCAATCCGTTGGACTATTGTTTCTGGAGTATTTTGGAAAGCAAGGATGGCACTAAAAAATACCAAAATGTCGATCACATCAAGCAAGCGCTCCGCCGGGAATGGCCCAAAATACCGCAAAGCTACATTCGAGCAGCGTGTGACGCGTGGTTTCATTGACCGTTTGGAGGCCATAATTCGTGCCAAAGGTGACCAATTCGAACAAATCTAAACTTATTCTAAGATTTGATGCTATTTCCGACATTTTTTGCTTTCATTCAATAAAATTAAAAAAAGTAAAAATTATGGCTTTTGACTTTGTTGGAGTTTTTTATCTCACCCTGTACTATTTCATATTTTTTAACATATCCAGAACGCGGCACAACATATAAATCTATATGATTTAAAAAAAATGTCTACGAACCTTGTACCATCAAACAAAATTGCAAATGACATGTTATCTCAGTGAAAGGCGAGGAAAAGTGAAATTACAAATAAGGTAATATTCTCATATTTCACCTAAGCCTGTGACGAATTACACACATCAGAATGTGCAAAGAAAAACATAAAAACATTAGAAGCCATCATATGTTTGTCTTTTGTGAATCATCATTTCTGACACTCATGTTTATGGGTCGTTTGGGCGCCACTACAATTTTTGATGCACATCTTCAGAATCACGCGATTGATTAGTAAAATATTTAAAAAAAAAACTTTCTATGTCGCCAATGACTATTACAATTCACTTTTAACTTAACGTGACAGTTGCTATACGTCAGTATTTAAGTGTGTCCATATTTTGTGAAATAAACATTTTTTCTTTAAAAACTTTTGATATGAAATTATTCACTTATTTTCATTTTCACAGAACAAGAACTAAACCCCCGGGTCACCCCAATGTTAGTTTACATGTGCAATCATGCACATACACACACTGATGTTAGCGGATTAGTAATCAAACTCAATAACAGTACATTTTGATATGTGACATTTAAAAATATGAACGTTAAAGAAAAGGAAATCAAAATTAATGGCATTATGATTTAATTTGAATTGCACTATAAATATTGTTTTTTTATAAAACATAAAACCAAAATACCTATAACCATGAACACAATTGCACTTCAATATTGATTTTTCCAATAGATAACAATAAATTGTGATAATTATAAGGAATTTGTTTTGTCTCAAACGTTTCGCAGTTATAAACATTTTTCTATTATTTTCTTTGTTATTTATAATTTTTATATATTTTACACTCGTTCTCTTTGGATTTGCTTGTTGTTTAGCTTATTTCTATATTCTTTATTGTGGTATTTAGATGGGATTTGCAGTAAGACAATGACCACGGCGATTCAGGTTTACGGGCGAAAGATTTTAGCAAAAGAAACAAGTGATTTTGTGATTAAAACACCGTTATTGAAACACGTTTTGTTATTTACAATATTTACAAATTATCTATTTAAAATTCACTCAATACTTTATCACTATTAGAAATTTTTTGCTAATATTTGTTTTATTGTCGATTTTAGAGAGTATTTTTTCGCGTTCATTTTAATTTCCCAGCTAATGTCTAAATTTAATTTCTATGGTTTCTCTAGCTGTGCTTTTCATAGCATGACATTTGCATTTTGTATTTTGTAACGTATGCGTTGACAATTGTACAATTGGCAAAGAAAATACAAATAAAAACATTAGAATAAGTAAACCAAAAAAGGTAAACATAACCTAAAAAACGCATTTCAATGAATATACCCATAAAATATCAATTAATTGGTTATCCCATTACATTTTCTTTATCAGAAAGCTGCAAAAATTACTTAATATTTTAAATGGCTCCCATAAAACATCATAATGCTGTAATTTCTAACTGCCCACCTGTTGCTCTTTCACAGAGATGTCTTTTCTTTTGCAATGGCATGGCATTGCCAGATTAAAATGTATTTGATTTATTGAACAGTGTTATCATTTCACTGAGAATAAGGCGAGCTCCCGGTTTATTATTTCTGTGTGATTTTCACACTAGTTCATGGCCTCTTTTCAATGAATCATTCAATTGAACCTCGTTTGGAGCTCTCAACATCCAATACTTAAGCAAGAATGTACAAAAGAATTTATTTATTTAAATAAAACGGAAAAAAGGCAATAGTAACCCCCCAAACGATTGGTTAAATATAAAATGGACTTTCCCCAACAAATTGAAGGTAAGTAATTTTAAAATTCCTTAATGGCGTTGCTTGTATTAATGAAGAGAAAAAATTTTCATTTTAGCATTGGATATATCCCCAAAGTAGAAAAAATCAATTTTCATTGTGAATGTGTGTGTGTGTGTGCGATTTGTGTGAAAAATTGGGTGGCAAATGGGGTGCGTGTATACATCCCTTGAGTGTTTCCTCGTAAAGGGGGGAGGGGAAGGGGGACGAGCTCCAGTAGGCAATGTGTATGTAATGTAAAATGCATATGATAACTGAAGTATGGAGTGGGAATATATACCAAGTACACAAAGGGGGACCGAACAAGGGTGGGGACATGCACCTTGTAGCCTTTTAGTGTGATGTGCGAAATCTATTGTAAAGTTCTAAACATACTTTTCCGTGATTTTCTTTTCGCTGTGTGCATTGTTGTTGTACATTTGGCCGGTGTTCTATTCCGACGATGCACTCAGTCAGTCAGTGGTATGCCTTCTTTGTTTCAAGTGAATATTGATTTTTTTCGTCTTCTTTATTTAGATAATTCTTTCATTTTTTTTAAAGCCGAAGAGCAAGCAGCATACAATTCAATTGTTTTTTTAACCAAATTATTTGTTATGTATAACGAACGGACAACGCAATGATGCTGGTACTTGATGGTATGATGACGTTATTTCATGGGATTAAGTATAGTATTGAAATGTATATTTCTTTGTTGTTGTTGTGAGTAATTTTGTGATTTTTTTCTTAAAGCAATGTACACAACGCAATCAAAGAATTAAATTTTAAATTTGGGGAGAAATGGGAATGATGTCCAAATAATCTGCATTTTGATATGGAAATATCTTCATAGAAGCAGTTATACTTAATATTTAAGCGTTTTAAGAAATCCAAAAGTTCATTGGCAAACAATTTCCATAAAAAACTTGTAATTTCGGCCGATATTCCTGTGCACACAACTAAATAGTATTTTGACATAGAATTTATAGAGCTCGAATTCGTGAAATATTTAGGTGTAAAACTTAAAAATTATTAAAAAAATCACAATGGGAAGCTACCCTAAAATTAATAGACTTATATGCGGCCTAAAGATAAAGTCAGTTCTTTTCACACAAAACAAATGTGCCATAACTCAAATGATCTGTTTTTCTTAAATGATTACAAACCCAATTCGACTAAATTACTTACCCTCTTCTTCTAAAGATATTCAAAATCCATAAAATTTTTATTAATTAATCGATTTTGTTTTGGCTTCATTTTTGAAAAACAAACAAGACAATTGTACAATTTATGATTTACCCTAATTAAATTCAATTAATATTTTCTGTTTTTTTTTATATATTTTAAGATACTCATCATATACAAATCATCACCACCACTTCCCACCACAATAAAATATTGTTGATAATCGGCTATTGAGTAGTAAAGCAAAATTAAAATCCCACCAAAAATAAGTAAACATTTGAAAAAACAAAACATACTCCCCTCTATATCTTTAAACCCAAAAGAAGATATTAGTTTTGTATTTTCTTTAAAAATACAAAATCTCCCATCCAAAAAAAGAAACAAACAAATAACTAACAAATTTTAACAAAAACCAAATCACCTCCTCTTTAACGCTGCTAACACAGAAACACTTGTGGCTAGATCACCATCGGTCTATGATGTTGTAATGGAATCACCGCTTTATGCGGTCTCCAGATTAGAACGTAATACACGTGGCAGTTTTGGTGTTATGGATGGTTTTGGCCAAACCAAATTGATTGAATCGGTTACGGCTGGCAGTAATTTCAATTACATTGATAAAATGGCTTCAAGCATGAACAGCAGCACGACCATGGATGATACAACACCCAGTGATTCGGGAGTTCAAATGCTAGACTCCGAATCAAGTGAATTGATGGCGGAGTCCATAACATCGCAGACTGGGTTTGAGTTTGAGGAACATAGCAAACCATTGGATTTGGGAAAAAATGAAAAAGGCCAAAATAAAGATGCATTGATTGTGATACCTGCTGAAGAGACCACGGTGATGGACAGTAATTCCAATGTAACCGGGGTAACGGCAAGCAATACGGTCGCTGGAGCTGCTTTGGTGGAAGAAGCCATGACAATAAGTCAATGTTCAACATTTGATACAACTGAAAATATTGTCTACAGGCGAAAGGTGCGTAAAACACCCAGTGTGGCCAAGGCTCCCAAGAAGAGAGTATCATTCCATGAAGATATACTTAAAAATACTCGTACCGATAATATACATATAGAGCATGGTTTTATAACCTACAAGGCGGGCGTACAACGACGTATGGCCCCGGCAATGGGCCAGGCTGGACGTTACTCTTGGTGTTCGGAAGGTGATCGACAACGTTCCTCTGAACTTTGTAACTCTCAGGAAGGTGAGGAGGGTGACGAAACAGCAACTGAGGATGGTGGACCAAAACGTCGAGGACGAGTGGTCTATCGCAATGCCTGTTCGGATGTTTTGGATTATGGAAATTCCGATATTTATGACATGAATGAAAGTCAATGTTTGCAATATGATAATTCGGGTGTTTTTGAATATGCCCCCAATGAAAAGAAAATTCCAGGAAACGATGTTCCGCAGGCTGCTGAGAAGCAGGCAAATAAACCAGAGCTCTACAAATGTTCATGTTCCAGCTCTAACTCAAGCTTGGATTCTGATGAAAATGACAAAAATTCGAATGGTCAAAGTTATGGCCAGGCCAAGAGTAACTCCTGTGATTGCATTGGCATGAGTAATGCCAACAACAACATAATTGGTTGGTATTTGCAAATATCTCCTTTGTTTGAATTCCTTTTAAAAATGTCTTTTCTTTTAGGTGACAATTGTTATTATTCCGAACCCAATATTGATTTTGATGAAAGTCCCCCACGCCAGAAGTCGGTGTGGAACAAGGAAAAGAAACCCAAATCAAGTTGCCTGAAGAAAACCAAATGCCACACCAATATCATACACGAACAAGATCTCAACACCAAAGTCAAGAAGTTCAATGTCCATGACATGAATCAACTGCTGGATAATAGCAGCAAAATGATTTTTGGTTCATTGAAAAGTATTTTCACTATGCCATTACCGGAACGTGGGGTGCCAGAAGGTTCTGAAGATTTGCAGGCCGTGGTTGAATGTCTATCGGAATTGGAACAAACTCCGGAACATCATGCGGTCATCAAGGAAGTGGAAAATTTTGCCGATCGCCCTGAATCGCCACCATTAAAGGCCAAGCCTTTCCTCAGCAAAAGTCTAGACGGATCTAAGCAACAACAACCCATTAAGAAATTTGTACACAATGTCGACGAACAGCTGCGGCGCAATAAGGAGGAAGATATTTACTCGGCCACCAGGCAAAATAGTGATGAACCTCCAAAGGATGTTTCCAACAAGACAACACCACAATTGGTGCGTCAAATGGAATTTGAAAGTGACAATGATTTGTTCGCCAATGGCGCAGCAGCTGCAGCAGTGGCTACAGGCTCTACGGCCTCATCTTCATGTGACACTACCGCCACCACCACTGATCGTACACCATTTCGCAATAAATTCATTATCAATTGTGAGAGTACAGTATTCGAACACACCGGTGTCTCGTATTGCTATGAAACCTCATCGTTTAATGAACTCAACAATATGGATGATTTACACGGCAGCATTGCCAGTTTAATTGAAAAAGACACGCCCATTGCTCAACCCGAACCGGAGGTATTGAAAAGTGCATTCATGACAGCACCCATTGCCAAGACATTCTCCAATTTCTTTCGAAGTTTTAAGGATTCGGGAAAGGATAAAACTTCACCAAAGAAATTGAGCAAGAATAACAAACAGCAAGCCGCACAGCAGGAGGAAGTGAAGAAAATGCAAGAAGCCACGGAGAGTTATTTTGGTATGTCATTTTTTTTTTTGGGAAGAACAAAATGGGAAGAAATTTTACGTTTTGTTTTAATAATTTTAAGATTTTATATGGTTTGTCGGTTATAGATAGAATATACCCTGTAGATAGTATTCCATTGAAGATTACTCTATAGAAAGAAGAACTTGAAATGTACCTCGATTTATAGAAATGTACCTCTATTTATAGAGGACTTCTGTGTATAGAGATCCCTTTAAAGTCCATCTATGTATAGACGAGATTCAAACGTTGCTCTTTGAATAGAGGATCTTTTAAAAACCTATTCATGTGGAAGACCGCTTTTAGCTGTGATGTATGTTTGGGTGATCATTTGAAGGCCCTTTAGAAAGGAGAACTTGAAAAGTATCTCTATTTATGGAGGACTTCGGTGTATAGAAACCCCTTTAAGGTGCATCTATATTCAGGGTGGGATAAAAAAACTGCAACAAAGTTAAACGCCATAATTTTTACATTTTTTCTTAAATTTTATTGAATGAAAGCAAAAAATGTCGGAAATAGAATCAAATTTAAGAATAAGTTTAGATTTGTTCGAATCGGTCACCATTGGGACGAATTATGACCTTCAAACGGCCATTGAAACCGTCACACGCTGCCCGAATGTTGATCTACGATATATTGGCCCATTCCCTGCCAAGCGCTTGCTTGAAGTGATCGACACTTTGGTATTTTTTAGTGCCAACCTTGCTTTCCAAAATACTCCAGACACAATAATGCAACGGATTGGTATCCGGAGATTTTGGTGGCCATTGTGCGCTGGAAATGAAGCGACGAACCTCATTTTGTAACCATTCTTGGGTGGCGCGTGCTAAGTGCTATGGTGCTAAGTCCTGTTGGAATGTCCAAGACTTGCGACCAAAATGTTTGCATGCCCAAGGCTTTAATACACCCTCCAGAATATTTTCGCGATAATAATTGGCATTTATTCTGATGTCACTATCGATTTATACGAGCGGAGAGCGACCATCGGCTGTTATAGTGGCCATCCATCACCACACCATCACCATGGCCGCTTGTGTTCTGGTGGCCAACCGAAGGTGCACATTTTCAATTGACCTCTTTGGCAAATAAACACGATCATTTTGTTTGTTTACAAACAGCTGGACAACGAATTTTTTCTCATCGGAGAAAACCAAATTCGGCAGTTCACCACATTCGGCCAAGCGAAGCAACTCTTTAGCTCTTTTGAGTCTATTTTCTTTCTGTTGCGGTTTAAGTTCTTGGACTTTTTGGAATTTCAATGGGTTTACCCTGAGCTCATTTTTCAATATTAGCCGAATTGAATATTGGGATAAGTTCAGCTCATTAGCCATTTTTCGGAGACTACGGCGCGGGTTTTGATCAAATCGCTTCTTTACTTTTCGAACCATTTCTGCTGATGTTGCTGTTTTCTTCCGTGCACTTCCGTCGAGTTACGCTACCAGTAGCACGGTAACGAGCGATGGTACGAGACACCAAAGATTTGTTCACATTTAAATGCTAGAGTACTCCAATGATAGCCACTTGTGGTTTTCCAGCCAAATAGAAAAAAAGAAATTACACTATCACGCTTGAATTCCATCGCGAATAAATTTTTTTTCTGAAAAATTCTCGCCAAAAGGCTTTTGTATGTATTTAAGAGGTTTTAAAAGTCGTCCATGTTAAGAAGATATTTAAAAAAAAAATTCAGATACAATGCCTCCTCAAGATCGTCTATGGATTTTAATGTCCGGTCTCTTTAAATATTTTTTTAGATCGAATGTGCTTTTTAGGTGATCTTGGAGTAGAAACCTTTAAAGATTTATATGCACAGAATGCCTCCTATAGATATTTTACGGGAAGCTTTACATGGAATACTACCCATATGATTCCTTCATAGACCTTATTACAGAATTTATGGGTATTTTTACCGAAACTCTCCAAACGGCTTCTGTAGCTAGAAGACCTTTTAAATGTTACTCAAAGGCAGTAGGCCTTCTTAAGGTTTCCTATGAATAAAATACATTTTCTGATTTAAAAATCCGAAGATATTATATGAATATGTATCTTTCTAGAAGCCTTTCAGAGCTGGGTAACATACCAATGGTCTTCCATAGAAGAGCTTGGAAACATCATCAGAAAATTTCAAGATATTTTGTGAATATGAATGTGTCACTTTATAGAAGCCTTTCAGAGGTGGTTGATATGCATTAAGCCTTTCATAGAAAATTGTTTCCTTCTGCCTAGATTTTTTTTCTTTTTTGGAAAGGTTGAGCTTTTTTCATTTTATGTTTCCTATTTGTATTTTCCTCGTTTTTAAATATTTCTTAACTAGATCCAATTTAAAATGAGATTTTTTCTTCAATTCGCAGCTCTCAAAATGCCCAAACACAGCGTTACAAATGCCGTTCCTTTGGCCAGCAGCACACCAAACAAATTTCCCTCAAATTCATCATCATCGACCATATCGGAATTAACAACCACCACCACTTCCAATTCGGCACGAAATCAACAACATCACAAATCGAATACTTCCCTGACAAGTGGCATAGCCAGTGGCAGCGGTGGCTTACCATCAACGCCACGCGGAGAAAGTCTTGCGATTGGCACCGATCTACGTAGTAATCTTGAGAAACAATCACGTCATTTACCCTCACCGATTAAGAAACGTTTAAGTGTTGTTGGCGCTACACTCATACAACAACATCCACCCCAGCGATACGGGGTTAGTGCCACTCAGCATCAACAACAGCAACAGCATCATCTTCAACAACATCCCAGTAATCAGCACAGTCTTCATAGCGATATGGCCATGTTCAGTCCTGATTTATATATGGGTGCTCGCGGTGGCAGTGGTCGTGATTCAAAGAGTACCATTCTAAGTGAAGAATTCGATGATATTCTAACCATAACAACCGATACGGAAAGAAATGAAAGTGACATTGTTATCGTAGACTATCAAGATGTCAGTGAGCGCAGCAATGGCGGCGGCAGCGGTGCTTCGGCCATTGAATATGGTAATCTGTTGAAACCACCACAACCACCAGCCAAAACATCATTGATAAATCGTTTCCTACGCAATGTAACACAGAAGAAAATACTCGAATCATCGATAAGACGTAACAATTTTTTTGCACACAAGCTTAAGACCGAACAGAAACTCTTCACCGGTAATCTGTATGTGAAGGGGGCGAGACCTCGAAATTTGGAGCTGATTGAAGATTTAAATGCTGAAATTGCAATGGAAATTGAAATGTCGGGTGTGAATTCGCCACGCAAGGAATTGGCAAATTTGGAAAGTGATTTACCGGGTGATTTGTCACGTTTTGAATTGGGTATAGGTGAGATATCGATAGATGTGTTTGCCGGTGTCCAGTTGAGCATTTTGAAAGATGTCACCGAACAGCTGATGAAAGTTTTCAAATTGTATACGGGCTACAGTAAGGAGGGTTATATGACGCCGGTGTTAGTTTTGTTGACGGATAAATCAATATATGTTACGGATCTGGTACGCAATCGTTTGTGCTCAAAATTTGTGCTGGCCTACAAGGAGTTGGATGTTATATTGGTAAGTTGTGAAGATATTAAGAAAATTCTTCTTTATTGAAAAGCTGGAAGGAAAAGTCAAAAGTCAGGCGGGGCCGACTATATGATACCCTACACCTCTTTGCATATTTCGTATTTTGAAGTAGATCAAACCACCTATCAACCTTTGGCCTTAGATCAGTTATAATTTGGTTTTAGAGGGAACTAATATATGGAAGGCATATCCAATTCTGAATCGAACCAAATTTGAAGGAGACATTTTTATCTTTTATACCGAATAACATTGCTATGGGGAGCATGATATCACTTCGAGAAGAATTATATTAAAAAAATATTTGTATCGGATCCGAGTTCCACCAAATGGAAACGTACGTCCCGAGATTCACTCCATTTGGGCTGATATTAGTCATTATTTGCACAATAAAAATGAAATCGGATTATGGATATATATGGGAGCCATATCCAAATCTGAGCCGATATTGATAAAATTTGGCAGAGATATTTCTGGGCTCTATAAGGTATCTGCTACCAAATATCATCCTTGTGGGGCGCATATTACGAATGTGAGGGACTTAAACAACAAATCGGATGAAACATATATATGGATAATTCTGAATTCGGGGCATATTACGAATGTGAGGGACTTATACAACAAATCGGATGAAATATATATAAATGGGAGCTATATATCTGAACCGATTGCCACCAAATTTGATGTACTTGCTTCTAGAATGAATTCGGACGGATATGCCAAAATTCAATTCATTTGGTCTGATATCGGTGCACAATTAACCCGAAATCGGTTGAAGATGTATATGGAAGATATATTTAAATCTGAATCGATCTTGATAAAATTTGGCAGAGGTATTTCTGGCCTGTATATGATATCTGGTACCGAATATCATTCTTGTCGGGTGCATATTACGAATGTGAGGGACTTAAACAACGAATCGGATGAAACATATATATGGGAGCTATAGCTATATCTGAATCGATTTTCACCAAATTGAATGTACATGCTTCTGGACTGAATTTGGTCGAGTGTGCCAAAATTCAGGGCATTTGGACTGGTATCGGACATTTAGTGCACAATTAACCTGCAATTGGCAGAAGATATATATGGGAGCTATATTCCAAGCTGAACCGATCTTGATAAAATTTGGCAGAGGTATTTCTGGGCTCTATAAGGTATCTGCTACCAAATATCATTGTTGTGGAGTGCATATTACGAATGTGAGGGACTTAAACAACAAATAGGATGAATAGGATATGTGGCATCTATAGCTATATCTGAACCGATCTTCACCAAATTCAATGAGCTTGCTTCTAGGCTTAATTCGGTCGGATGTGCCAAAATTCAGTTCATTTGGACTGATATTGGCCATTTGGTGCACAATTAACCCGAAATCGGTTGAAGATATATATGGGAGCTATATTCAAATCTGAACCGATCTTGATACAACTCGGCAGATGTATTTCTGGGCTGTATTTGATATCTGGTACCAAATATCATTCTTATGGGGTGAATATTCAGAATGTGAGGGACTTAAACTACAAATCGGATGAAACATATATATGGAAGCTATAGCTATATCTGAGCCGATTTTTCACATAATTTAATGTATCTGCTGCTAGGCTGAATTTGATCGGATGTGCCAAAATTCAGGGCATTTTGACTGGTATTTGCCATTTAGTGCACAATTAACCCGAAATCAGATGAGGATATATATGAGAGCTATATCTAAATTTGAACCGATTCTCACTAATTTTAATAGGGTTCGTCCTTGGTCCAAGCAAATATTGTTTGGAAAATTTCATCTCAATCGGATAATAAATTCGACCTGCATTTTGTTCAAAAAAATACATGGACAGACAGACGAACGGACTGACATGCATAAATCGACTCAGAAAGTGATTCTATGAAAATCCTCAACAGTATCTATGGGTCTATCTCGATTCCATCTTAATTTTACAAAAAAAAAATGCACAAAGACATAATACCCTTACCACTATGTGGTGCAGGTTATAAAAACTAGGATAAGGGACGTCAAAAAGCAGAAGCGAGGTAACTGAAAATAATGAAATGTAATTAACATACGACGTCTATGGAGAGCAACAACTGTCCTAGAGTTAGACACTACTATGGCTGAAACCCTTTTACAGGTCTTTTATAACGAGAAAGTGACAAAATCAAGACGCCTTCTTGAGTTCTTTCAGGGCTGGAGTAGGTCTTCTGTTTCTATGTATTCTTTTATGGTTGAAATGCATTCTAGAAGCCTTAAAGTCCTCCTGGTTTCTTAACTTTTATCAACTCGTAACAAGTATTTTTATTTTAAGTCAGAAATCCGAAAAGATGTCGTTTTTATCGAAAAACGAAACTAGAATTCAGATCTACTATGGCTGGAAACCTTCTTGAGACCTTTCATAATGAAAAAAGTACGTCAAAATTAAATCATCTTCTTGAGTTCTTCCATGGCTAGAAAAGACCTTTTAAAGACTCGAAAGACCTTCCCTAGCCTCTTGGTTCTCTACCGCGCTCTTATCATGCTTTTCCTTTCCATTTTTAATTCCTCTTCTTTGTCATTGTGTCTATATAATCTTTTATATTTTAAATACCTTTTAGAGGCTCGAAAGACCTTCTCTAGCCTCCTGGTTCTTAAGGTTAATCATGCTATTTCCATTTTTAATTTCTCTTCTTTGTCCATTTCAGATGGGTCCCTATGGCAATACAGTTCTACTTTCGAATAGTAATCGTGATAAGCAACAAGTTCTTCTGGCCGGTGGTCCATATCCAGCTGCTGGTTTAGTTGCAAATTTGGAATTATGTGCAAGGCGAAGTGGTTCCACATTGCCTGCCGTTGGACAATTGACTCTGGATCATTTGGCTCCGCTGCAGGAATTTGTACGCGAGAATTCATGTGTTGGCAAACATGATGCCTGGATGTATTATGCTGTGGTCAATGTACCCGGTTCAGCGTTGGGTGAGGTTGGAGAACAAGAACCATTGGGACCACATGCCAAAGGTTTTCTAATGCATCGACGGGTCAAGGAACACATGAGTAATACCACATCCAAACAACATCCCTGGAATCCGGGATATTTTCTGTTGAAGTAGGTTCTGCCTACATTTTTGATTTTCGTACAATTTTTCAATTTTGCCAATATTTTTCTCCACAGAGCTGGCGTTTTGTATATGTTTAATGATTCGACACAAAAAATACCCAGTTGGGCCATGGCATTGGCCGAATGTCAAGGTGCCCGTAGGGCTGTCAAGGCCCAAAGGCCTCATTGCTTTGAGATTATGTTGAAAAATAAAATGCTATTGCAGTTGGCGGCTCCAGATGAATATGTGGCTTCAGAATGGCTGCAGGCCCTGTTGCAGTCTGCAAGTGGGGTATGTCTGTCAATTGTTTATATTTAAATGAGGACCCTATGATATATTTTCCGTTGACTTTTTCAGCTCTTTGAAATGCAAGAGAAACACAAAACCTTGGGCTGTACATTGGTGGTAACCCAAAACCATTTGATAACACTTCGGGAAGACTTTACCACACCCCTGAGAAAGTTGAAAAATGAAGAAGATAATAATAATACACAAAAAGTCGAAACTCAAACTACAAACGCTACAAATATAGAGGAAGAACAATATGCACCAGAAACTGGAAGTTTGGTAGGTGGAAAGGGATTTGAAGAGAAATTTTTAGATTTCTTAAAATTGATTTAAAATCTCAAAACCAAATTAAACTAATCTATATATTTTTTACTTACAGCTAAGCTCTGCCATGAGTACACCAACACGCAACACACTACGCTCGGAATCCTCAATGAATTCAACACCCACAAAACTATCGCAACTATCACGTTCGACGACAACATGCAACACCACGTTGGCGTCATCGTTGGCAAGCAATAATGTCACTCCAACATACCTTTCAATGCGCTCAACTAGGCAACCTGGTGATATTTTAATGGGTGCTCAGCAACAACCAACAACTTCACGTTCCGCTGCCCGTCACACTGCCATGAGTAGTGTCTATGGCAAAAACTCGGGTCTGGAAATACTAACATGTGCCGATATCAAAGAAATGACCGGCATTAAAATACCCTCACACACTGATACTTGGTGGTGTATTCTGGAGTTTTCATGTCAGGAGGTACGCGAATGCTCCGATGATTTGGTGATATTTTTCGCCAGCAGCACTGAAATGCAAAGGTTTCTACGTCTGTTGGAACAGCTGTGGCAGGCCAAAAATGTGAGTAGAAAATGGAAAATAGAATTAAGCACAATTTGGAAAGACCAAATGAGAGGTCATTTTAAAGGGGAAAAAGAATCAGACGCAAAGAGATTGTTGTTGTAACATTTACACTTTTTTGGTTTGAACTCCGGTTTTAGCTCCAGATCCAAAAATTCGGCTACTTTCACAGGCTGCAACCAAATATCATCTGTAGTGAGTGTACCGTAATCTAGGGGCCCGACACAAATGGCAGAAATTTTGCACATTTTCGACTATTCGTGCCCAATACGAATGGCGACGACTGCACCATCCTGAACGTAATGGCGCCAAAAGTACCCTGGTTTGTATAGGCAGGCGACGTTTTTCAGCTACAATGGGTGGGGTGTGGACTCCGAGAACGGCATGCATACTGTAATTGTTGATGGCATCTGTATGAATGCCACTCAGACCTGCCTTATAGGCTTCTTGATCTACATATTAAGGGAGATTTTTTCAAAGCTATAGGAAAATTAAAAAACCCATACAATTCAGAAAAATGCGTGAATTTTTTAATGAAATTTAACGCAACTGCGTCTCAAATAGTTCATTCGCGTAGTCCAATATGGTCCTACTCTTTCTAGTATTTCAGGAATAAACGCTTCAATGTTGTCTTGCAATGTTTCAGTTGAATCAAGTTCGTCTATGTAGACATGAGCTTTAACACGGCCCACCAAAAATAATGTAGAGGGGATTGAATCTTACAATCTAGGCGGCCGAACATGAAATGAAATGTTCACCGTATTTGCCGGCCAATAAGTCAATTATAACGCGTGCTGTGTGGCTCCGTCTTGTTGAAACCACATGTCATGCGAAAGTTAAGCTGTTATATTTTGGGCAAAAATAGAGTAGAATATCATCTCACAGGCCCTTGAAATTTTCAAGAACTATTTTTTGAAGACTATCAAAACTAAATTAATAATACCCTCAGCCATATGTCTATAGAGGGTATGTATCATTTGATGTGGCCAAAACATGACTCATCGAAATAACGGTTTTAGACCCCAATTCACTTTGGACCAAATCCGTTTCAGGATATTTGGAGTCGATCTAGCGATTTCCGTCCGTCCGTCTGGCTGGCTGGTGAGCACGATAACTCTCGAAGGGGGTATCCGATTTGATCCAAACTTGATACATCGCAATATTATTGTCAAACTTAGATCGAGTTCGGAGATGGAAAATATCGGTCCACTCCATTTGGTACCTACCACACAAAATGTCAAAATTTTCAAAGAAAATAATATACTGCACAGAAAGAGAAAGGATAGTCCGATTTTGCTCTAACTTTGCAAATCCTAATATTTGCATGAGTACTAGGTCAGGTGAGAAAATGGACATTATCGGTCCACTCCATGACCACAAAGGGTCAAAATTTTGAATAATTATAACTCTTATAAAATGTGATGTAAGTGCCCGATGGTCTTCAAATTGCACACATCACAATATTTTTATTAACCCAAGGTCTGGTGTGAAGATGGGATATATCGGTCGACTCCTTCCGGTACCTCCTCAACAAAGGTTGAAAATTTTGAATATCTGTTATGCTCATAAAATGCGATATTAACATTCGATTCCATTCAGACTTGGCATATCTCAGTATTTCCATCAACACAATATCTGTTATAAAGATGGTAGAGATCGCACCATACCTTCTGGTACCTCCCACACAAAGGATCAAAGTCTTGATCCTTAATTTTTCTCTTCTCCTGGTTCTCTTAATTTTTCACACATAACAATATTTTTTATTAACCCAAGATCTGGTGTGAAGATGGGATATATCGGTCGACTCCTTCTGGTACCTCTCCAACAAAAGATATTTTATAAAGATGGTAGAGATCTGACCATACCTTCTGGTACATCCCCCACAAAGGGTCGAAATTTTAAATAACCAAAACGGTCACAAAAGCCGAAATAAGCATCTGGTTCCCTTAATTTTTCACATATCACAATATTTTTATTAACCCAATGTCTGGTGTAAAAATGGGATATATCGGACCATTCCTTCTGGTACCTCCCTCACTAAGGGTAAACGTTTTGTATAACCAAAACGATTATAAAATCTGAAATAAGCATCCGGTTCTCTTCATATTACACACATCACAATATTTTTGTTAACCCAATGTCTGGTGTGAAAATGGGATATATCGGACCATCCCTTCTGGCACGACCATAAAATCAAAACGATCATAAAAGTCGAGAAAAGCATCCGGTTCTCTTCAAATTTCACACATGCCTTATTTTTACTAACACCAAACTTGCTATGAAAATGGGATATATCGGCGAACTCTTTGTGGTACTTTCCCCACAATAGGTTCAAATTTTTGAAGAACAAAACGCCCATAAAACGCCAAATAACCATCCAACTCTCTTCAAATTGAAAATATCCAAAGCCTTTTGCTAACGCAAAATCTGTTGTGAAGATGATAGATATCTGCCAACCATTCTGGTACCTCACCCACAAAGGCTCACAATTTACAATACTTATATTCGATTTCCTTCAAATTTTGCACATACAAATATTTTTATCTGTATTAGATAAAGTATTAAAATAGATTACTTCGGGCCGCTATATTTGTTACCTCACGCATATTTTCAAAATTTCCAAAAATTTGCATGTATTTCATATAAAATATAGGAAGTAGTCGATATGGTCCAAATCTGGCAAGTTGTAATATTTTTTTTTTATCAGTCTTAGTTCAGATACGAATTGCTCAGTATTGGCCAACTGCTTCGGAACCTCGCCCATAAAGGGTTAACAGTTCGAATATCTATAACTCAAGGCTGGGGGTATACATCTGTCGGCAAAACCGACTGATACTATTTTGAAGAATATTTCATGCAAATGTTGAACGCCTCTCAATAGGTCAATCATTACGCGTGCACGGTCTTGTTGGACAAAAAAAAATTGGACATCATCTCACAGGACCTTGGACTTTTAAAGAACCAATTTTAATAAATCATCAGAGCTAAATTAATTTTTGAATAATAAATTATTTTTTTGATTTTCTATTTCCAGAATGACCTGTTTCCCATTTGTGTGCTGGATGAAGATGATATTATAGCTGAACAGTGTACCATGCTCTATATGGACATAAATCGTTCCTGGGAGCCTCTGCTATCGGCTGCCCTGGGCTATCCTCTATAAAATGCTTCTGGCAGAAAGTAAAACAAAGAAACAATAACTAATACCGAACAACAAAATAAGAAAAAGAAAATATTTTTGAATAACTAAACTTCCTTCTCCAATATCTTTATACCAAACAAATACTATTCCGCCTTGCCATGATGCCCTGATTTAAAAAAGAAAAAAAAATTAGCAAAAACAAGTTATTTTTATGCTTGACAAATAATACCGAAACATAGTTGGAGTAATGGAGAGATGGTTAAGCCTTGGTGATTGGTAGAGTGGACGAGCAGCTGATAGACAAAACAAGTTTAGCTATCTTTAAAATAAAACAAAAAAAGAAAAACGTAATCAAAACCTAGCTAGTCACACAAAAAGCAACACATGGCTACATAAATATTTTGCTCTCTTTTTTGTGGACTAAAAAAAAAAAATATTGTAATTTTTGTGATTTTTTTCTTTTGTATTATTTAAGTTATGGGTTCTGTATTTTTGGTTCTTGAATATGTTTTTTAAAGAAAGTATTTGAATCTATAACAAGCTCTTAAATTAAAATCATTTTGTAAGTTAAATATGTGATATTTTGTTTAAAAATCCTATTATTATTATTATTTTTAAAAAATATATTTAGTTAATATTTTTGATATTAAAATAGAAGAAAAAACAAGCAATGGATCTTAATTTTGTTAGTTAGAAGAGTAAGTCTTATTTTCCATGGATTTGTATATAAAAAGAATTGAAGAAAAATTGAAATGAAATAATTATGAATTATAGGTTATGTAAAGCAGAAAAACAAATTAAATCCATTGCCTTATAATTTTTGTTTTGTTAATATTTTTTTATCAATGGTTTTTTGCCTTTTTCTCACACACACATACACACAACGTTTAATTGTAATGCAACAAACATTCTCATTCTCATGTCTGGTACATTTCATATTTTACAGATACTTTTCTAAGCTAAAGGAACTTTTATTTCTTTTTGCAAAAAGGCTTTACTTTTTTCTTAAATTTAAGTAAAATCATTTCAGCCAAGCTGTATGTTATTAAGTTTTGTTGTTTCGAATAATATTTAATTTAATTTTAAGTTATTTATAAAAAAAAAATATTCAAAGTATCTTTTTTTTTTTTTTTTGGATTAAAACTGGCACAAATAATAATTTTTAATTGAATGAAATAAAAACAAATGAATTGTACAAACACCACATATATGTATTATTTTTAATTGAAAAGCAAACACATGACATTTTTTTCTAAACTTCCATTAAATTTTTTTAATTTGCTTTTTTCTGGTGCTTTTTACATCTCTTAAATGCCTTAAAACCCCACACCCACACAACCTTTAAACCTCTATGAAATGGCAAATAAAAAAAATTAAATTCTTAGTGCGCTTTTTCCCCCAAAACTCTTGTTTTTGATTTGTGAAAATTTCAAATGAAAACACCCCCACGTATTATACCGAAGAACATCTTCTTCAAATAATCGTCTTACAAACAAAATAAAAATTAAACAATAAAAAAATCTATTATTATTATTATAATTATTAATTAAACATTAATATTATACATATATATATATATATTTATCATATAAAAGAAAAGTGAAAAACCAACAATAATTACAAAAAACCAAGAAGAAGAAAGTGATGGATTGTACTACATAAAATACATATATAAAGGAAATAAACAAAAGTGAAAAAAAAAATGGTTTTTATTGAAGCTCGTCAATATGGAGAAAAAATGGGTCTGTGTGGGGAACAAAAGTTGCGAGAAATTAAAAGAAAAACAGCGAAAATTTGAATTGATAAGGTTCAGTACCTTATTTTGAAGTAAATATGAAAATGGCGCCCAACGTGTCAAGAATCGAAAAGTGGGTCTGTGTGGTGCACAAAAGTTGCGAGATATGAAAAAATACAACGAAAATTTTAATTGATAATGTTCAGTACCTTATTGTTACAGAAGTATGAAAATGGCGCCCAACGTGTCAAGAATCATTCTGGTTGCCACGGAAAATTTGAATAATGGGGCCTGTGTGGTGAATAAAAATTGCTAGAAATTAGAAAAAACAGCGAAAAAAATTGTTCGCGAAGGTTCAGTAACTAATTGTTGAAGAAGTATGGGAGTGGCGCCCAACGTGTCAAGAATCATTCTTCGCTCCTGAGAAAATTTGGATAAGTGGGCCTGTATGGTGAATAAAAAATGCGAGATATTAAAACAAAAAAGGTAAAATATTTTGGTTCAGGTTATTGTTGCAGAAGTATGAAAATGGCGCCCAATGTATTCATTCTTGTAGCCTGATTACTGAAAATTTGGAAAAGTGGTCCTATGTGGTAAATAAGAAATGCGAAAAATGAGAAAAAACAGCGACAGCTTTGTGTGATTGAGTTCTGTAACATTTTGCTAAAGTAGCATGGGAGTTGCGCCCAACGTGCTAAGTGTCATTCCTGGCGCCTGAGAAAATTTGAATAAGTGGGCCTGTGTGGTGAATAAAAGATGCGGGATATTAAAACAAACAAGTATATCCTCAACCATTTATACCCTCCACCACTTGAAAGAAACCTGAAAATTTTCAAAAAAAAAAAAAAAAATAATAATAATAATAATAATAAAAAAATGATAAATACCGCTCAAATGGAGGCTATACGAAGACGTGGACCTGCACAGACAATTTTCTGCCATAGGCTGTAGTATCCATTACGAACTTTAAATACCAAATTTGAAACAATTCCGGCGAATAATGTCGCTAAAATCATCAAAATACCGAATATCGGCAGGTACCGTTATATAGGGGCTATACCAAAACGTGGACCTCTGGACCAAAAGTCCAGAAGACATAATATACATTTGAGTAAAATTTTATCAACCTACTTCATTTCGCTCGGAAGCTAGAGTGAATTTGACAGACGGACATACGGACGGACATCGCTAATTTTAAGCTGATCAAGAATATATAAATTTTGTAGGGTCTAAAATGTATATTTAAAGGTGTTACAAACGGAATGACAAACTTAATATACCCGCCATACTATGGTGGAGGGTATAAAAATGGGTCTGTGTGGTAAATAGAAGTTGCGAGAAATGAAAAAATACTGCGAAAATACCAGTACCTCATTGTTACAGAAGTATGAAATGGCGCCCAATGTATCAAGAATCATTCTTGTGCGGTGAATAAGAAATGCGAGAAATTAGAAAAAACAGCGACAACTTTGTTTGATAAGGCTCAGTACCTCATTGTTACAGAAGCATGAAAATGGCGCCCAACTTGACAAGAATCATTCTTGTTGCTACAGAAATTAGAAAAAAACAGCGACAAATTGGTTTGATACATTTCATTCTTGTTGCCTGAGAAAATTTGAATAAGTGAACCTGTATTTGGTTCGGGGTATAGTGACATGATACAGACTTGACCCACATAACCATCACTGTTGCACACCCAACGTCACATCTCTCACTTAGCGTTGTAGCGACACCAGCTACTCAACAGCAGCGACTCCTGATGAAAATCATTCTGTTCTACACCAGCTTAGCGACCTCTAAGGTCAGCGACTCAACAATAGGTGCCTCTGAGGCAGACTACTCTACAGTGGTGAGCTCTGAGGCCAACTACTTTGAACCAGCAACTCTTGAAGCCAGCTACTTTACTTTAGCGACTTCTGAAGCAAACTATTATATGGTAGCGACCTCTGAGGTAAGCTACTTTGCAGCAAAGTTCTTAGAGGCCAGCCAATCTGTATTGACGACCTCTGAGGCCAGCTACCCTACAGTAGCAACTTCCACAATAGCGGCCTCTGTCCCAACTACTTTATAGCAGAGATCTCTGAGGCCAGTTACTTTATGAAAGCGACATCTAAGGCCAGCAGCTCTACAATAAGGGTCTCTGAGGCGAGATTCTTTACAGCAGCCAACTCTAAGGCCAGCTTCTTTAGACTAGCAACATTGAAGTCACCTACTTTACAGCAACGACCTCTGAGGCCAGTAAGGTCAGCAGCTCTACTAAAGGGGTATCTGAGCTCAATTATTTTACGACAGCGAATTCTAAGGCCAGCAGCTCAACAATAGGGGCCTCTGAGGCAGACTATTCTACAGTGGTGAACTCTAAGGCCACCTACTTTGGACCAGCAACCCTTGAAGCCAGGTACTTTACTTTAGCGACTTCTGACGTGATCTTTTCTATAGTAGCGACCTCTGAGGCGATCTACTTTAGAGTAGAGGTTCATTGGCGATCTCACGGCGAAATTCTAGAATTATTACTTTGAATTTATCCCGTATCCCCCAATGCTGGAAGCGAGGTTGTAAAAATTTTCAGCTCACCAGTTAAGGGTAGGGGGTTCGGTTAGTAAGAAGATATTGGGCGCCGATCTTATTTTGAATAGGTATAAGTAATAGGTATTGTTAGGGTAAATGTTGTGAGCTAGAAGCTGACCACTAAAGTACAAAAGTGGCGCCCAACGTGTCAAAAAAAAACAAAAACAAAATTAAGCATCATATTGACAGCATTTTATATGGTTCCACGTAATATTCAATCATGTAACGAAAACTGTACGGAAGCGTGACAAGTGGCGCCCAACGTGTCAAGAATAAATAAGTATCGAATCGACAGCATTTTATTGCGTTCCACGTAAGACCTTTGCTCAGTTGGTCGAAGGGTGTCATGAGGAGGCGCCCTATGGCTATTCTCAAGGCGGCTTTCTGGCAGATTTGATTATTACACTGTTGTGACAGTTCGCAACAATGCCACACTCTCCATTTCCTTTGGCACCCGGTATTTTAAAGGTGTTTGAGCGGTTATCACCTTTTTAGTATATACTTAATATTAGGTCTAATCAGACAAATGGCTTGACCAATATAATGTATAAAAGATGGTTCGTATAAGGAAAACGTGGAATATTTTATATATTGAGCTGAAATGATGCTTTCTGCGCAAGCATTCAAGTGTCGCCCAAAGTGTCAGGACAATGCAATGTATCGATATCATTTCCTTGTGTAATGGGCAAGACCTTCACGTTCTCAGGTAGATGAACGAGAGGTGTCATGAGGAGGCATTCTGTTGCGGTTCTGAGCTCGGCATTAATTATAACTCAATTTTATGTAGAACTGAGAGGTGAGAAAACATAAAAAGCTTTTTTGGATGGCTTAAGTCATCGGCTGACTGGCTGGAAATGAGCAAAGAAGCCTAGGGCCAAAATCGAACTAAGTCAACCTAAAACTCCTTTTTTCATCTACGAGAAGCCAGCCGTTGACTTAAGCCAGTCAAAAAAGCGTTTATGTATTCTCACTTTTACATTAAACGATCACACCAATGCCCCAAGTGCTTGCTGCGCTTACATTACCATGGGGTATGTTCTAAAATCTAATATTTATTACAAAATAAAACCCAATAAATATTTTTTTTTTTGTATATTTATAATCTTTATTGAATTTGAAGTGGTTACAATTTAAATGTCGTTTTCTTTGTTTTGTTTTTTTCTCATTTTGTCTTGTTTAATAATTTGTTTGTTTGTTGTTGTTGTTTTTTTCGAATTATATTTTCACTTAAATGTGGATTTCACTTAATTGTAATAATAATAATAATTAAAATAAATGTATATATATTATTACAAAGTTATATAATATTCTTTTGTTTATTTGTTTATTTTGTTTTGCTGTTGTGGATTGTAATTATAATAATATTAATAATAATATATTTAATATTATTATTGCTGTTTGTTATTATTAATCATAATAAGTTTTCTTTATAATACAATAATTCAAGTGGTGAGTTTAAAAAACGTATTATTTTGTTTTAAAAAAAGTTTTATG